TCACCCCACCTCTTGGGAATGAGGACACTGCTTCTTGTCTGAGGACAACAGCATCTCCAGGAAATCCTGAGAAAACTGGGATAATGGTCAACTTCTGGGAAAACTAGTTGTAATGTTTGTTGTCCAGTCTCAGAATTGTTCCCATACAGAGTGATCAGTATATATGTCACCTATCTTGTAGTTTTTCTAGGTTTATTTCTTTGTCTGTAGCCAAGATTTTCAGGAGGTCTTCCCCAATCAAACCCGATCTGTTAACCTTGAAGAATCCATAGTCTTTTATATCCTGTGGAAACAAAACCATAACCTCTCCCCCAATACAATACATTTTCAGAATTCCATTTTGCATACCATATGTAACTACCCTCTTCCTTAAATCTTCTCAAATCTAATATTTCTACAGAATTACAGTTCACTTCTATACAACCTTGAGGGTTCCTATCATCTGGTGGTCATTCTTATATGGTAACTAGATATATTAAGATTGGTGTTCTAATAATGTTGGGCCACTCCTCTTCAGTTTCTGTTTTTTGGGTTTTTTTTTTTTTTGGTTTTTGTTTGTTTGTTTTGAGATAGGATTTCTCTGTATTGCTTTGGAGCCTGGCCTGGAACTCGCTCTGTAGACGAGGCTAGCCTGGAACTCACAGAGATCCACCTGCCTCTGCCTCCTGAGTGCTGGGATTAAAGACATGCACACTACTGCCTGGCTCCTCTTCAGTTTCATAATGCAGTGTTTCTGTAGGTTCTACTCTAAATTCCTCTGTCTGTGTGTGAATATTTTATTTTCATTAGTAGATCTTTCTAAGGCTTGTATTTTATCAAATTATATTTGGCAGTCATCAACAGAGTCCTGCTCAGTTAGTGCCTCAGTTTGAGTTATTGCTGCTATGATGAAGCACCATGGGCAAAAGCAAATTGGGAGGAAAGGGTTCATTGGCTTACACCTCTATCCACACTGTAACCACCACTGAAGGCAGTCAGGACAGGAACTCACACAGGGCAGGAACCTGAAGGCAGGGGCTGCTGCAGAGGCCATGGGCGAGCTGCTCACTGGCTTACTCCCCATAGTTTGCTCAGCCTGCTTGTTTTGTTTTGTTCTGTTTTTCTTTTTCTTTTTTTTTTTTTTTTTTTTTTTGGTTTTTCGAGACAGGGTTTCTCTGTGGCTTTCGAGGCTGTCCTGGAACTCGCTCTGTAGACCAGGCTGGCCTCGAACTCACAGAGATCCGCCTGCCTCTGCCTCCCAAGTGCTGGGATTAAAGGCGTGCGCCACCAACGCCAGGCTTGTTCTGTTTTTCAAGATAGGATTTTTCTGTGTAACCCTGACAGTTCTGGAACTCACTCTGTAGACTAGACTGGCCTTGAACTTGGAAATCTGCCTGCCTCTGCTTCCCAAATGCTCGGGTCAAAGGCATATGCCACCATTGCCTATTTTGTTTTTCTTTTTGTAGAACCACGGGCCACCAGCCCAGGCCTGGCCCCACGGTAGTGGGTTGGGCCCTCCCCCATCAATCACTAAGAAAATGCTCTGCAAGTTTGCCTACAGCCCAATCTTATGGAGGCATCTTCTCAATTAGGGTTCTCTCCTTTTAGACTCTAGCCTGTGTCAAGTTGACATAAAATTAGCCTGCACAGTTGCTTGCTTACTTGTAAACAGTTTATGAGAGGTCCCAGATTATAACGCAAAAGAAGAAGAAGGCAGGAATGCAATGATGTGGCTGCTGGGGAGGGAACTAGAGCCCACACCCAGAGAATCCAGACTGGCTGCCCTGTACCGGGCTAGCTGGCAGAGTAGGTAGCAAGGTGTCCTTGTGAGCCCTGGCTCTAGGACATCTCTGGCTCTGAGCCAGCTACTGAGCCTACCACTGACAACCCAGATCATTGGGAAACCCGTGTTACCAGGGTTTGGGAGGTGTGAGACCAAGACCATGAGATAGTAACAGGACAGTTGGCAGCTACGAAATCCAGGAAATACTGGCCTCTTTAATTCCCCAGAGACATGTTCTTGCTAATCCTCAAGTTCCAAAGCTCCCACTTAGATGGCTTGGCCCAAGTTAGAAGGGGAGTGGCAGACAGGAGGAAGCTGGGGGCATCGTTTGGACAGCATGTATGCTCTGCTAGGCTAACAGGTTCATAGGCCTCAGTCAGTGCCCTCTGGGAGTGAGGCACCCTGGGGCCCTAACAGAACACAGTTTGGGGTGGTTCTGGGACAGTATAGTCTTTCTTTGGTAGCTGGCATTTGCCAAAGTTGGTACCCACAGGGAAGAAAACCAGAACTTGCCACTTCACACATCTTTTCCCCACTTTGTTCATACTGCCCAGAAGAAACCATTAGATGTAGGTCATTGTGGGGCCTGTCCTCCCCACCCCTGCCCACTAACCGACTCTCTGGTCTGCTCTTGGAAGGGATAGGAGTGGAGGTCAGGTGAGGAGCAAGGCCTTGGCTTGACTAAGGGACCAGTCTCGGAATTCTTTGTTAATCTGAAGCTTTATTGTTACTTATTTTAATTATGTGTATGTGCTTGACTGCATGTATAGTGTGCACTGCATGCATGCCTGCTGCCCAGAAAGGCCAGAAGAGGGCAACAGATCCACTGGAACTGGGGCAGGAGAGATGGCCCAGTGGTTAAGAGCTCCGGCTGCTCTTCAGAGGTTCCAGGTTCAATTCCCAGCAACCGCATGGCAGCTCACAACTGTTCCCTTCACACCAAAAAGATCCACTGAAACTAAAGTTAGAAAAGATTGTGAGCCAAAAAGATCCACTGGAACTAGAGTTAGAAAAGATTGTGAGCTACCATGTGGATGCTAGGAATCAAACTCAGGTCCTCCGAAAAAGCAGCACAAGTGCACTTAACCACTGAACCATCTCCATGAACCATCTCTATGCGCAGACTAAAGTCTTGTAACCCTGCTATCTCTGCTGATCCAAGATGACAAGGGTGGGGAGAGGCCCAGCATCTGGGCCGCTTGCCTCTGTCTCTTCCTCCAGGCACCAGATAGTATCAAAGCTATGGGAAATCAGAGGGTCCCAGGTTCCAGCCTGTTTCCTACCTCAGCGGGCAGGAAAGGCAGCACCAAGGAAGTGACTGGATTGGGGTTCTCCAGGCCCAGTGCCTTGGGCAAAGTGGCAGAGTTGGAGGAGGCTGGGCCATCCAGAGCTGTGTGTCCTTTTCAGAACAGGCCACTTTGCCCAGGTGTCATAAAACCCATCTACCCTGCCTGTAGGACGTCCAAGGCTACAGCCCCATCCCTCCTCTCCTGGCTGCTAAGGCTGGATACAGGACTGTTAATGGCAGATGGATACAGTAGTAGGAACCAGACCATAGAGCCAGCCCAAGTGTAACTGCAGGTCAGTCTCCACGCAGGGGACTGAGCTCAGTCTGGACACGTCCTCAGCCAGTGCATCCCTACCCCACCCTCCTGTCTTCCTGGCTCAGCCAGCCCAACCCAGCCCAGCCCCGAGGAGAGCGTTGGCAGCTGGAGCTGGGAAAAGCATGGTAGAGCCAAGAGCAACAGAGGCCCTGCCTGGGCGCTGCACAGACCCTCTTCTGACTTGGGGCAGCCCCTCCTTCTGCTTCAGCCCTTCCTATTGTTTCCTCTTAGGCTCCTGTGCTGTCCTGCTGACCCTGCTTGCATCCTCTGCCTTTGGGTGGAACCTCCCCTTAGCCTCAGGTTTCTCCGGGACCTCTATCATCCTTTCCTGGTTCTCAGGGAGTTCCCTCCTGCACCCAAGTGTTTCCGGGAGGTGAGATGTTTCCTTCCTAGGTTCCTGACCCTGTACTTCAGCTTTGGGCCTCTACTGCCCTCCATTCTGCTGCAATGACAAAGGCTGGGTCCCTAAGCCAGGGAGACAGGAGCAGGCACAAGAGTCCCCTTTTCATAGAGGGAGGATGCTGGATCTAAGCTCTGTGCAGTGGAGTCCTGGGGCTGCAGGGCTCGGGAGACACAAGGCTAACTAAACACAGCCTCTCTTCTGCCTCAGAGTGCCATCACCACCAGCCGGGCTGACTTTCCCAGTAGAAGCAGTAGCGCTGGCCTCAGTGACAGCCTCCGCCAGTGCTGACCTTGGTAGAGAATCTCCCTAGTCCCGGGTGAGGGTGAGTGTGGGAATTTTGTGACTTTCCTACTCCACCTATCCCCAGTCAACCCTCGCCTCTTCCATGATGGACTGGGTGGCTCTTCATCTTCCACACAGCCTCAGGGAAAGGGATGCAGAGGGCAGAAATGTCTGCTCTCCCAAGTCGGGTACTGCAGCCCCCAGCACAGTCTACCTACACCCGTTCCTTGCCGCCATCTCAGCCCATCTCTTCCTGTGCTCTGAGCCCGAGACCACCTTCCTCCTAGCCACGCCGTGGAACAAGCACCGCAAATTCCTTCACTCTCCTGGGCTTGTCTGTTTCTTCCCCATTGCCTCTGCTTGCCTCTGCTTCCCTATTGTGTCTCCAAACTTCTGGCGGGAGAGGGAGCCCCACGGGGGGAGGGGGGTGGGATCATGAAGTGGGGTCACTTAGGGCAGAGCTGCAGCAGATTTGGTTATAATTGAAAGGCCAGAGGCACCAGGAAATTCCTTTCCTTATTGATCCCAGTGGGAAATTAAAGGCAGTAGTTGGGCATGGAACTCCTATTGACTGCAGCTCCTCCCTTCACCGGGCCCTGCCTCTCGAGGTGGCATCCGCCATCCATCTCTGCTAGCCCTCCTAGGGCCTCCAGGGTCCCTCATCCCTCAGAGTCTCCTTTTCCCAGCTGCCCACCTAAGCACCCCTCCCATTCCCCTGGAGTGAAAGGGCTGCTGGAGGCTGAAGCCCCCAGCCCTAGCCGGTCATCGTATCTCCCCCACCCTCACTCTCAAGGTGGGGTGCTTGGAGCTCTGATCGTGAGCAGCCAAACCACGAACACATCTGGAAGAAATTCCCCGCCCAGTCCTACTTCCCTTTGTCTTACTTCTGGTTCTGGAACTCTAAGCCAGTTGCTAGAGGAGGGGTGGGGGGGTGAAGAGTAGGGGGTGGGCCCGGGGCTCCCACTCCTACCTGGGGGAACCTCCTCCCGGGCTCTGGCCTCTGGGATTCGCCATCCCAGGCCTGGTAACTGTCTGAAGGTCCTCAAAGCTCTTGGGGAGAGTGAGGGCTTGCCCTGCAGTTTTCTCTTCCGTGAGGGAGAATGCCAGCCGAGTAAGCATGGGCTCTCCTGCCTCTGGGCTCCAGGAGTCTGGAGCCGTGGAGATGGGCACACTGGCCGGTGAAGAGGTACTGGGCACACCGGAAGTGGGCAGCGGCACCCGTTTCCTGCCTTGTTCCCTTCACAGGCCTCTCCACTCTTGGGTTAGAAGCTGGATTTCACTGTCAGAACCTAAAACCCCCCCTTCACTGTTCTATAGCAAGGCGATGCTGGGGGCGCGGGGCAGGGAGCGCTCCAACCTGGACTCAGAGTGTTACCCAGGGTCCCCTTCCTCCCCACCTCTGCAGCTGTCTGCGGTGAAACTGCTCAACCTGGTGTCCTCTTTCTTCCTGTGGCGCCTGTGCTGTTCCCTCCACCCCTCACCCCACCCCCAATGAGCTCTCCTTTTTACAATCTGGAACCTTGGACTCGGGCTGACGGGTCCCACTCTCGTGGGTGGTGGTGGCTGCGGGGCGGGTGGGGGTGGGGGAGGGGGCGGTCCAGAGAGGCAACCTCCCTCCCTCATCCTCGACCTAGGCCTGACTCTCATGACCCTGTCTGGCCTGGCGTTGAGGTTAATCCACAGCTCAATTCGATTCCCACCAAAGCCTGCGAGTCCCCGGTTCACCAGGTCAGGACTGCCTGCTCCAATCTTGGCACGCTGACAAGGAGGGGTCAGGCAGGGGACCTTGTTTGAGATCCTGGGGGGGATTCAAGAGGATCCCAGAAGGCTGGTGGTGGGGCTCCTCCGGTTACCCGCGTGCCTCCAGGCCCTGCCTGTTCTTTCTGTTCCTGGTCTCTAGATCTTTCCACTAAGGATTCACCCACTTAAAAAAAAATCCTCGAAGGGGCCAGGCCTGCCGCACTGTCAGCTCAGGATGTGGACATCTTACACCGAGACCCACCCCCTCCCGCACAACCAGCCTTCCCCCCCAATCCCAGTAGCATCGCAGCGCACAGGGGGCCCGGGAAGCGCAGCCACAGAGAAAGCGCCTTAATAAAGAGTCGTGTCAAGTGATTGGCTGTGACCTCTGCCCTCCTAGCCTCGCCCGGGGCTCCAGCTTAACCCTTCGTTGTCCGTCCAGTGCTTGGGGAGGAACGAATGAGTTGCCTTGTGCTCACTCACTTCAGGCGTCCCCAGGCATTACTCGAACCCAGAGCTGAGTCAGGGGGGTGGAGGACAGAGCGGTACCTCCCAGTCACCCAAAGGAACGCTTGAATTCCAAGCTCTCCATTGGATTCCGTTCAGGGTCCAGTGCCAGATGCAAGACCCCAGTTACTGCTCTAGTGGGGTCTCCAGATGTCTGGCGCCGAGCTGTCCAGAGCACCGAGTTTGGTAGCGGGCTAGTAGGAACTGGTGAAACGGGACCTGCATTCGCCCTGCAGACCGTGAGACTGGAGCATCCATGACCAGGCGAGGCGTGCCCTGTTCTTGCCAGAGGCACAAACCCTGTGCTTGTCTTCCGACGCTTCCCCGTCCGCCTACTGATGCGGGAGAAGGGTATTTTGGCCGCTAGAGAACCCTAGACCCACCCACGTTCTAGAAACAGGCGGGATTCCGGAAAGGATTGGGGTGAGGTGGCCACAGAGCAGTGCCCCCCCAGGTGGGGTGGAGGGCGGGGCGGGGGCGGGGCCGCTTCTTGCACCAGCTGGGTATAAAAGCCTAGAGCGCCGGCGCCCAGCAGCTTTGCAATTGTCCTCCACGCGGCTCGGACCCCATGTGGAAGGATTAATTCCTCAAAGGGGCAGCGAAGTATCTTTGGGCTAAAGGACTTGGCGTCCAGTGCTCCAGCTGATCTAAAGAGAAAGCCACCTCACTGCCACCATGCCTAACTTTTCTGGCAACTGGAAGATCATCCGATCGGAAAACTTTGAGGAATTGCTCAAAGCTCTGGGTAAGGTTTTCGAGCTCTGGGGAGGGGGCAAGAAGGGCGCTGGATTCCTTGGAGCGGAGGAAGCGAAGGCCATAAAGAAAAGGGGGCCGAATCAGGGGGTGGGCGCCTAGGAGTCTGCATCCTAGAAAAGGGGCGTGCCGGATACCCTGGGTCCTGGGGCACCAGGCCCTGGATCTTAAATCCTACTTTCTGAGGCTGGGCGCCCACCAGTGCCAGCTTCAATGGTGACTCAGGGCCTGTGAATCAAGTAAAAACCAGAAGCACGAGGTTAGTCTGGGGATGGGGGGTTGGCTAGCCTCGGTGCCTGGACCAGAGAGGGCGCCGGGACCTGCTGGCCGGGAGGGCACCTGGCTCAACTTTGAGATTCCGGTATCCAGGGAGCCCTAGGAGACATTCCAAGCTCTTTCCACGTACCCTAACAGTAACCCAATCCCCACGACAGGGCCATTACCCCCAACACTTGGCCCCGCCCACCAGGTGGTCCACCTCTCTAGCTCCCGCACCCTCCCCCACTTGCACTTTCCGCTCTGCTCTCCCCACCCCACCCCCACCTGTGAGACAAACATTTTCCTACAGCAAGCGGGCTCCAAAGCCCTGAAATCGCTCTGGACAATTACCACTTTCTTGGATTTCAACAAATGTCCTCGTGTGAAACACCAATCCCCGTTTCCAAAAGTCCCTCCCAGTCAGGGACCAGCTGCACCCAGCGCTGCTGGGCTGTGAGCCAAGAGTGGGAACACAGAAAACACCCAGACGCTCTTTCGGACCTTCCCTGCCCAATTTCTGCTGCCCTCCGTCCGGGACTGGTCTAGAAGGTACAGGAAAGGCGAAACATTGAGGAGAGATGGAGTTAACCACCCGGGGAGTGGAAACAGCACCAGAGCCTAAGATCAGCATGCCTTCCCTTTCTGGACTGGAGAGGAACGGGCTTGGGCTGGGAAGAGGGGAGACCCTTTGAGGAGCTAGGGACTAGACAAAAGTAAGCCTGGAACGAAAAGGAATGTTGCGCGGGATGCGGGGCCTCCATTCTCATCTTCCCTTGCTGTTAGTCCTTTGTGTCAGCCAACCGCAGTGACGTACCCATTTTTCTTGCTCCCCCAATTTGCTCTGCCCCCCATTTGCTCTGAATTCTGGCCTGGCTCCCTGGTGGGTATGGGAGCCTGGCATCAGCCCCAGGTCCCAGCGGGAAAGAAAGGCCCAACCCTATTATCTGCCTTCAGAATGTTTGTCCTCCCTGTAGGGTCCCTTAGAGCCACGCGACTTGCTAGGGGGCAGATTGAAAACAGACCTGTTACGCAAACCGCCCTGTGTCAGCCAAGGTCATCTGAGCCAGGCCCCCAGCCCTGCAGATGTCAAGACAAGGTAGAGTGAGGCATCTTCTGAATCCAGTCTCTGCAGACGCCTCAGTCCCTGTTCAAGGGTCCACGTTATGGAGGAGGCTCCGGGCTCACCCTGGTAGTCAGGGCCAACACAGCAGGGCTTTTTGTTGAGACCGGGTGAGTCAGCTTTGGGGCTTAGTGTAGTGTCAGTTTTCTTCTCAGGAACTATCCCAGAGCTATGGGGATGCATCAGCATGTGTATGTACGTGAGGGGCCTTGTCAGTTCGAGTGTCTTGTCCTGTGGTGTACCCTTGAAGGGTTGGTTCTCCCTCACCTCCACAGGCCTGGAGGGGTGGGAGTAGATAGACCCTCATGTGGGTGTCCCTACCTTCTGGTTGTGCCAGCAGAGTAATGTTCTCCATCTTCACGGTCTCTTCATAACTGGGGGCAGGGAAGGAAAGCAGAGACGGAATACACAGAGACTGAATACACAGAGGCCAAGTGGGAAACCCTAGAGCATCCAGGGGCTTGAGACACTAGCGTGAGGGAGGGAACGTTACCCTTTTCTTCCCCTTTGAAGGAGACCTGGGGGCACCAGAGCGCACCCTGGCGAAAGAACCTTGTCCATATTACTTGCATGAAATAATGGGTTTCACTATATTCTGGCTCTTTTTTTCTTTTTTTTTTTCAAGACAGGGTTTCTCTGTATTGTTTTGGAGCCTGTCCTGGAACTCGTTCTGTAGACCAGGCTGGCCTCAAACTCACAAAGGTCCGCCTGCCTCTGCCTCCTGAGTGCTAAGATTAAAGGCGTGTGCCACCACTGCCCGGCCACTGCCTGGTATCTTAAGTTCTTAAACATGGAGCCCTAGGACAATTTGAAGAAGCTATTTCCATTCGACAGTTGGGGAATCTGAAGCCGGAAAACGCTGAGCTGTAAACTGCTCAGGGTCACTCCACTGGAGCAGGACTGTCCCAGCTCCTGGAACTTACCCCCCAAGCCTCTGGCTTTCTGCAGAGGGAGCGTCTCCTCTGTTCCTCACTTCTGGGAGGTGCAGAAGTTGTGCAAATCAGGGCCTAACCTCACACCAGACAGGGTAGACCGCTGGGGCAGAGAGGAAAGCAACCTTGCTTGCCTGGTCTATGGTCTACCCTGCAAGTGGGCACAGGGAGCGCAGTGGCGCTGATAAGCCTACCTCAGCGGTCTCCAGCCCCGGGGTGAAAGCCCAGACTGAGAGCCTGCCAGGTAGCCCATGGGGGAAGCTGCCCCTCAGGACACTAGGAGTGGGTTTCTGGAAGTCGGTGAGTCCTGTGCACTGCTGGTCACGGTTCAGGCAGTATTCTCTGCCCCTCCTCCCTCTCCCCACAGCCTTCCACCACTGCCCCTTGTCACCACCCACCCCATCCCCTACCCCCCCACCGTCGGTCTCCAATGGGGTTCTTCCGGCTGTCTCGTGGCAGGCAGGGTGTGTGAGGGCCAAGCCTCTCTCCCTGCAGGGGTGAATATGATGCTGAGGAAGATCGCTGTGGCTGCAGCCTCCAAGCCAACAGTAGAGATCAAGCAGGAGGGTGAGTCTTTCTACATCAAAACCTCCACCACTGTGCGGACCACGGAGATTAACTTCAAGATTGGCGAGGAGTTTGAGGAGCAGACTGTGGACGGGAGGCCCTGTAAGGTGAGGACTGGGGAGGGCACCTCCCTGTCACAGCTCCTACTTGCCATGCTTTTCAGTGTCCAGCCTCCCTATACCCTCATGAGGGAGTCCTTGGAAGGGGTCTGTCTCCTTTCATTTGCATTGGCCCTGACTGTGAACTCAACCCATTTGGCCTCTGGTCTCTTGCAGAGTCTGGTAAAATGGGAGAGTGAAAACAAAATGGTGTGTGAGCAGAGGCTTCTGAAGGGAGAGGGCCCCAAAACCTCCTGGACCAGAGAGCTGACCAATGATGGAGACCTGATTCTGGTGAGCGCCGCCCCTCCCATCCTCTGGAGACCCCTTCTGCCTTCAGCCTTCTCTGCCAGGCTCCAGGCTACATCAGGTCCAAAAGTGGCTGGGGCCATTCTCCTCAACCTCCTGATGGGGCTGTATTGTGTAATAAAAATGTGCCCAGAGCACATCTTTAATCCCAGCACTCGGGAGGCAGAGGCAGGCAGATCTCTGTGAGTTCGAAACCAGCTTGGTCTAGAGAGCAAGTTTCAGGACAGCCTCTAAAGTAATACAGAGAAACCCTGTCTCGAAAAACCAAAAAAACAAAACAACAACAACAACAACAAAACCGTACCCAGAGGCACCCACAGCTTTCCAGTAGGCTATCCCCGCCTGCCTCTGGACTCCGGGAGGAAGTGGGTTTCTGCTTGATCCCCAGCAAGGATGCCCAGGCACTCTTGCATCTGCTCTTGCCTGTTTGGGCTTGGAAGTAAAGATGTCTCAAGCTTCCCTTTTAACGCCTCACCAGATAACCGCTTCTACCCTTCTAGACCATGACAGCAGACGACGTTGTGTGCACCAGGGTCTACGTCCGAGAGTGAGTGCTGCAAGAGCTGCCAGAGACTTCTCTCCTGCGCCCCTGCCCTGCCCCCAGCCACTGAGCTCCCTCCTTGTCTGTCTCACAAGCTAGCTCTCCCCTTAGTCCTCAGACTCACTGTCTTTTGTTCCTTGCCTCCTCTGTGCCAGAGAGGGACAGTCTAGAAAAGCCTAGAACCCCGTGCACCATCATGGATCCTCTCCAGGTCAGCAGCGTCAGCTCCACACCAGGGTCCTTCTTCCTGGAGGAGACTCTCTCTGGCCTCTACCCTTGTAGTCTGTATGATTAGAATATTTATTTGTTAATTTTATTAAAATGTCTTAAAAAGTAAAATCCTGTGGCTCCCCGGGCAGTGGTAGACAAGTGGCCCTGTTTGGCCTTGTCTGGGGTGCAGTGGGAGAGGGTGCTGTCCCGGCAGGCCAGCCACGCACGGCACGGCGTCTCACTTGCCTGGCAGCAGTGTCTCCTCTACTCTCTTCCCCAGCCCTGGTCCCCTAGTCGGAGCGCTGTGTTCTCAGGAGCTGACTCCCACTCTGTCACCCGTTTCCCACAGTGGCCACATGCACTGGCTTCCCACATGGTCCCACATGAGCCCAGTGATGTCCACAGGCTGCCCTTGCTCCCGTCTGGGACTCTCAGAGAAAAGTGTCCTGCCAGTCAGCACCCTATAGCTGCCGCTGTCCTTCCCCCATACCTCCAGATCTCCCACAGGCCCTTTCTGCTCCTGGCTTCACCCTCCTTAGGCACCCTCCTGAGCCTGCAGAGTACAAACATACTCAAGGTGTGACTACAGGCAAGTTACTCAAACATCTTTGGACTTTTGGGTTTTTACAACACCAAACTGTTTTAAAGCATGGTGGCTTATACCTTTAGTCCCAGCATGTGAGAGGCTGTGAGCTCAAGGCCATTCTAGCTACTGGGTGACTCCTGTCTCAAAAGAACGTACCGGGTGGGGAGATGACGTGGTGGGTAGTGCTTGCTGTACAAGCATGAGTGCCCAGGTTTGGAGCCTTAGAACTCACATGGTGTAGCTGGATGTGGTACAGCTAGATGTGGGAACATTCTTCCAGAGACAAAAGAAACCCTGGAGGCTTGTGGTGTACAGAGTGATGAACAACAAGAGAACCTATTTAAACAGAGTAGAAGACGAGGACCGACACCCGGGGTCGTCCTCTGACCTCCGCTTGTGTCATGGTATGTGTGTGCCTTCACACACACGCACACACACGCGCACACACACACGCGCACGCACACACACACACGCACACACACGCACACACACACGAGAGAGAGACAGAGAGAGAGAGACAGAGAGAGAGAGAGAGAGAGAGAGAGAGAGAGAGAGAGAGAGAGAGAGAGAGAGCGCCACCACTACTACCTTTAGTCCCAGCAAAACAACTCAGGGCTGGACATAGCTTGCCTAGTGCTAGAATGATTGTCTAGTAATACAAGGCCCTGGGTTCAATCCCCAGTATTGGGAGTAAAAATAATCACAAAGTTGGGGCTGCCACCAAACAAAAAGAGGGCTAATGAGAAAGCTCAATGGGTAAAAGCAATTTCTGTGAAAACTTGACAACCTGAGTGGGTTCCTAGAACCTACAGCAGAAGAACCAACTCTTGAACATTGCCCTCTGACCTTCACATGTATGCCATGGCATGCACAAACCCTCACATATCACACACCATAATAATAAATAAAACAGTCCTCATTTGAACAGCACGTATGCTGAAACTGCAATGAAGCATATCGTATTTTTCAGAACACCAAAGAGTTGGGGATTTCTACTTTTCTAATTCACTCTGCACAATTCTAGGGAAATACATCAAAACCTAACTTATCATTTCAGTACTCCACGTGAAAAATTAGCAAGGATGGATGTAGGTCAGGGACAGAGCACAAGTTCATGCACAAAGTCCAAGTTTCCATCACCAGCATTACAAAACAGAAGCAAAACCAGATAAAATAAAACAGAAATTACCTTAGCGGCCTCTTCATGTCCAAAATGAAGGAAAATGGTATTAGGTCACCTTTAAGTGGCCCTTACCCTTTCTGCATTTAGCTCCTTCAAGAAGGTTTGCAATCTTATCAACCCATTGACCCTCAGTGTGTCTGCTAGCTTGGCTTGGGTAGTGCAACAGTTTTTCTCAGTTGGTGTTGCCATTTGAATGCTCCACTGCTTCCTTTCCTAGAAGGCCAAGGTGATTTGGGACCAGGTCACAGGCTGTGAAAGGGGTTTTGGGTGTTTTATTTGGCTCCTAGGAGGAATTGGGTTAGAGAAATGGAAGAGTAATTGCAGAGCAGGCAGGGGGCTGGTATGATGTCTGGGTCCAAGGTAGAGAAAAGTAAGGCAGAGAATGTGGTTTCTCTCTGCAGATGGGATGAATTGGGGGGCGGGAGGGAGATGCTGAGGATGACCTTGGGACACCTGACTTTGGTCTTTTCACAAATGGAAAAAAATTCTGTTGAGGACAGGCTTCAAAAAGGGTCTTTGTCTCCCAGCACTCAGGAGACAGCGGCAGGTGGATCTCTGTGAGTTAGAGGCCAGCCTGGTCTACAGAATGAGTTCCAGGACAGCCTGGGCTATACAGAGAAACCCTCTCTATATAAAAAACAAAAAACAACAAAAAAGTAAATAAACAAAAGGGACAGATATTTCTCCCACGGATTTCTTGCTGGAGTCCACAACTCAGTTCCAAGCCTTGGTGCTTTTCTTCCTACGGTGTCTGTCCCCAGCCTTCAACGTGGCCTCTACTCTGCTTGCCCCTGGTCCTGGGGTCTGGAGCTCAGGGGATTTGAGCTCCTCAGTCTTACTGCAGGCTGCTCAGAGTCAAGGCCCCCCTGAGAGCTATGAGGTTTGCCCCTCTTGCCCCTTCCCTGGGCTCTGTTCAGAGTTGGGATGACAGGCAAGTTACAGTCCTGGTCAGGGGGATGGGAGCAGGGTGTTCCCACCTGACTCAGCTGTGAGAGAGTTGCTCCAGCTTCCCGCCCTGCTGCAGCCCTGGCAGTCAGCAGAGCCTCTCCTCCACACCGTACATGAGTAAGCCTTCCTTACTCAACAGTGCTGCTGGGAGCAAGGGCCTCAAAGGTCCCCCACCCAGCACATCCCTGAGGTTCTGCACTGCCTCTGTGGTAGAGCCGTTTCTCTCTGAGGCCCAGATTCCAAGAGTTTAACCACAGGAGGACCAAGCCTCCAAGACAGCAGAGTGTCTTCACACAAAATGGCATCCAGGAAGCCATCCAGAGAAAGGGCAGAGACAAGGAAAGGGCCTGTGTGAAGAGATGGTAGGGAAACCGCCGGTCACTGGCAGAGTCTGTCAATACCTTAGGCGAGAATGGAGACAACTCTTATTTCTGCCCTCCAAGAGACAGGAGCTTGGAGTTAGGGAAAGGCCCATCAATGACAAAAGTCAGCGATTGTGGACACAGGGGAAGAGACCAGAGAAGATCATGAACAGGACTCAGTGGACCTCTGAGGTCCCCAGCACCAGACACCAGTGCCACGTGTGGTATTGATAGCCAGGGTGGAGGAGCCCACAGGCAGGAAAGTAGAACTAGAGTCAGGGAATCACGAGAAAGAAAAAGCGGCAGGGTGGGAAGTATGGGGGGGATAGTGCGTGCGTGCGCGCACGCGCGCGCGCACACACACACACACACACACGCATGCACGATACAAATGCACACACAAATGCATGCACACACACGTGCACACACACACAAATGTACACACACATACATGATACAAATGCACACACACATGCACGCACAACACAAATGCACACACAAATGCACTCACATGCATGCACGATACAAATGCACACACACACGTGCACACACACAAATGCACACACATGCATGCACGACACAAGTGCACACACACATGCACACACATGCATTACGACACAAATGCACGCACACACGTGCACACACACACAAATGCACACACCCAACCTAGGAGAGGCAGAAAATGGAAAAAAAATACAAAGAAGAAGAGAGAAACCTGGGCAGACAGATGAGGCCAGGAAGGGTCAGAGAGAGTAAGGAAATCTAGACCCCAGAGAGCTGAGGTTTTTAGAGGGACAGGCAAGGAAGAAAGGACCAGGTGCTATGACCCCAGGGCCTGACAAAGAGCTTATGGCCCTTACTGGCCAAGACGGATGGGACTGGATGCCAGGGCCTTTGTGGTGGAGAAGAAAGGAAACCGCTCTAAGGAGGTCGTGGAGGGGTGGGATGGGGGTGTCCTGGCCCTCTCCTTCCCTGAAGGACCGGGAAGGAGCCTCTGTGTGGGTGAGAATTGGGGAATGGGTTGAGTCCAACCAGGTGTTTCTCCAGGCTGGGCCGTCTGTCCTGCTCCAGCAGGACAGGGGACAGGGTAGAGGGTGTGACCACAGAGAAAGTGATTCGGTTTAGGCAAGTAGAGGCAAACAAAGCAAGAGGCCCCTGCAAAGGCTGCTGAAACCCTCCTTGGGACAGCAAGGTGCCCGGTCCAGGTCTCCTCACCCTCCTTTGGGCCTGGCACTGCCCTCCTGACCTTTTGGCTTCCGCTTGCTTTTTCCCTGTTGGCGCTGCTAGTCGAGAAACCAGTTCTGTTCCTGCCTGGATAAGGATCTTAGCAGGCTCTTTCCAGGCCACTGCAGAAACCTGTCAGGTCAACAGCACCTGTGACAGCACCCCACAGCTGTGAGAACTCCCACCACACCTCCACCCAAGCCCTGTCTCACCTACTTCGCTAGGCTAGCCGCAGTGGCCTTACCTACTTCACCTCCCCCTTAGCGCCCCGCTTTTCTAGCTACCGCGACCCAGAAATACCGCCCGGGGTCTCTTTCTGGAACCCATATGCTCTTCAGAGAAGGTGGAAAGGGCCCTCCCTTGGCTTTTCCCTGAGTGCCCAGGAGCCAGGCCCTGCTTCCCGCTACCCCCTACCCTCATGAGCTGATTGACCTCCTCAGCCCCTGCTCGGGCTCCCCACAGCTGCTCCAATCAATTGTTCCCCTTAGCAGGCACAGAGGCCTGAAGGGCTGACCTCACTTAACCCCAGCCCCCCTGGGCTCCTCTTGAGCCTTCCTTCATTTCCCACGACACCCTGGCCTCCTTCTTGTCCTTTGGAACAGCAGCCCCTCACTCCTCAGAGAGAAGACTAAAGGTCAACTCTAGTTTTCCTCTTTGTCAACCCCTGGCTTTGTCAGGCACCCTAAAACCTCAGTCCCCCACCCTGTTCCTCTCCCAACTTCCCTTAGGGATCTGGCCATGCTGGGGGGCAGTGTGAGAGCAGCAGATGGGAGACTGCTCTGGAAGCGTCTGGGGGTGTAGGTGTTGAGCAGTGACTAGCCTGGTCCCATCTCCACCCCTTAAGTTAAGCCAGTGTGTCAGGCTGGGACTCCAGCTGGTGACTCAGACCCCAGCAGCCCGCAGCTGAGCTGTCCCGGGTTGGGTTGGTTCTGTTCTCAGGAGAGGGGTCATGGAACCAGAGAACAGAGTCCTACAAGAAAGGGATCCTAGGATTGTGCCTTTTCTTTATGTGAGAGAAAAGCAAAAGTAAGGCCATAGTGTGTGTGGTCACTCAGATGTCAGGGAAACCCTGCTCACATGAGTGATACTACATGGCTCAGGACAAACCAGCTTGGTTCCAAAGACGGCAGTCATCACCCTGGATCTTCTTTTGTGGCGTGGAAAGGCATGTTGGTCATTCCCAGGTCCTTCCTGAGCTGGCGGGAACCGCTGATGATTCAGGAGGAATTTGAACTTAGTTCTGACTTCTGTGACACAAAAGTCACCTTGCTCTGGCCCTCCCTGAGGAGGAGGACTGGGGAGGACTAGCCTCGTGCTCTGGTGGGCAGAGTGGACATCTGCTGACTCGACTTCCCCCTCTTCCCTGTGAAGTAATGGCTTCTGGGGGTAAAGATGTCCACCCAGTCCCTGCCTTCTCCTCTCCCAGGGCCTGCACCGCGGTGCTGTTGAAGGGAGAGCCCTCCGCTCCTCTGCCAGCCTCTTTTCTGACTCTGGTTATGCCCCTTCTTCACAGCGGCAGACAGAGGTTAAATCTTTCAGTGAGACCGTTCCTCAGCCATCTTTCTCAGCACAGACCCTGATTCTCCGAGATCAGCAGGAACTGTGGAAACAGGCAGAACGGCCAGTTAGACCCAGAACCCCATCGTGGGGCACGAACAAGTCCCACAGCTCAGCCGGTGCCTAGGACTCCCCACAGCCTTCCAAAACTTTTGAAATTTCCAAAATATTAAAAGTCTTTCCTAAAGGCTAACTTCAGCTCAAAGGCTCCGCAGCGGGATGAAACACGCAGGACCGGGAAGGAAGGCGAGCAGACAGGCAGAAATTTCTCCACCACTTTCCCTTTTCTCTTTGTCTTCTCTTTCCCAGCCCTACTCTCTACTTAATCCCCCATTCAATTCACTGCTGCTGGCAGGGAGCCAGCATTGTTCCTGCCGACTCTGGTCTTCCCTCCTCCTCCCCACCCCGCGGTGGGGACCCACAGCAGCCCCTGCGGGTTAGGGCACAGTCACCACTGCTGGCCCCGCCCGGGCCTGGAAAGTTGAGAGTTTGGGTTTCTCAGGGCCCCATTTATTCCGAATGCCATCGGTTGGGAGGTAACTGGAACGCCCCCTCTCCGCAGCTGCTCCGCACCCAGCGGCCCTTCCGTCTCCGAGCCGCTGGAGCTAAGCTCTGCAGGTCGGCGGAGAAGCCAGAGCGGCTCGGGTGGGCGGGGCCCCGGCTGCAGGCCCAGAGCCCTCGGCTCATCCTTGCTATCCGCCCGCTTCCTCCTGCAGCTCCCACTCTTGCTAGGCTCTAAAGCCCTCTCTGAGGACTGCCCAGGGCGGGACCAGGACAGAGAATCGAGTATCTCCAGTCTCCTGGCAGACCGCTGCGTGCACCCTGAACAGATCCCTAAACAGGCTTCTCCCTCCCTCTGGTGGCAGCTTTCTAAAGCGCAGTTGATTTTTTTTTTTTTAATTTCTTAGTACACAAAGAAATACTTCGTTGTGAGATTGTGACACACGTTTACCACTATACTTGGTTCTTATTTATCGTGTCATCGTCTGCCCCCCCCACTGCTGTCCTCTTACCCGTTCTCTTCCTTAACTTCGTTAGCTTGAGAGACTTCTGGGAGTTAACTAAAGCACTCTCCTAGGTGTGTCTGGGAAGAGGCATCATCCAAAAAAGCAGGAACGGGGGTGGGGGTGGACCTGACAGGGGGAGGGAGGGGGCAAGGGCATAGGTGTAGCCCTGGCTGTCCTGGAACTCACAGAGATCCTGTCTCAAAATACAAATAAATAAACAAACACTAGTGAGGGAGGGCCTGTATCATGGCTCATTGGTGAGGAGCAGCGGCTGCTCTTCCAGAAGAACTGGGTTGGATTCCCAGCATCCACATGGTGTCTGGAAACCATCTGTAACTCCAGTTTCAGGGGATCTGATGCCTTCTTCAGGCCTCTTCAGACACCAGGCATGCTTACAGTTCACAGACACACATGCAGGCAACACACAAAAAAATCACACACACACACACACACACACACACACTCGGAGGGAGAGAAAGGAGAGATAGTAGCCAGGGTAAGTGCAAGGATGGACTTCAGAGCTCAGTGGGCTTCCTTCTTCCCATTTTGTCCCATCTGGCCCCCAGCCTCCTTTTTGGGTGGTGCCGCCTCCCAGACACACTTGGGAGAGTGCTTTAGTTAACTCCCAGAAGTCTCTCAAGTTAAGGAAGAGGACTGGTAAGAGGGAGGACATCAGTGTGGGGGGCGGGGCAGACAACATGATAAATAAGAACAAAGTATAATAATAAACGTGTGTCACAATCTCACAGTGAAACCTATTCCTTTGTATACTATACTAACAAATTAAAAAAGGATCACTGGGCTGGAGCAATTAAGAGCAGTGGCTGCTCTTCCTGGGTTCTATACCCAGCACCCCACATGGTGGCTGGCTCACGATCATCTGCATCTCAAATTCCAGGGGCTCTGACCCCCTCTTCTGACATCCAGGAAGACAGAAGGGTTAGAGCCCCTGGAATTGGAGTTACAGACAGTTGTGAGCTGCCATGTGAGTGCTGAGACCCAATCCAGGCCGCCTACAAAAGCAGTCAATGCTTTTAACAGCCAGCCACTATCCAGGTCCCCAGCCTTATATTCTGGGAGGAGGTAGAACACCGGGAGGGATACACTCGTATTGGGTTCAGACACCTCTGGCCACTGCCTGCAACGATGCTCTGCTGTTTTGCCTTCTCCTGTCCCGTGATGCCATTCTTCTTGGCACATTTCAGAACTTTCTGGACACTTTGGAACATAGAAAGTAATATGTAGTCATTTAGCATGTGTGAGCCCTATTGATTCAAAGGTAAAGAGCGAACACCGTCAATCTCCAGTCCCATTCAGAAGCACTGTCAGAGCCAGGTGTGGTGTGCACGCCTGTGATTCCAGCACAAGGGAGGCTGAGGCAGGAGGACGGTGAGTTAGAGGTTAGTTTGTCTCTCTGGAGGGTGGCATTCCTCTCTGGGCAGGCGGAAGGCAAGAGCTGGCCTGGCTCCCACCGTCAGTCACTCTGTGTTCCAGCACCATGCTAGGACTCCTTATACTTCCAGTCTTCCCTCATGTGCCTGGTTGGGTAAGCCTGGAAACCTCTTTGAGAATGTTTGTCCTAGTTAGGCTTCTGTGCTAGGGGGTTCCTGTTGCTGCAAAGAGACATCATAACCATGGCAACTGTTACAAAGGAGAACAATCAGTTGGAGCTGACTTTCAGTTTCAGAGGTTTGGGCCATTGTTGTCATGGTGGGTGGCATGGCAACAGGCAGGTAGGCGTGGTGCTGGACAAGGAGCTGAGAGCTCTGCATCCCGATCCACAGGCAGCAAAAGCAATTGTGTACTGGATGTAGCTGGAGCATATCCGAGACCTCAAAGCTCACCCCAACATTTCCTCCAACAAGGCCACACCTACTCCAACAAGGCCATACTTCCTAATAGGACCACTCCCTATGAGGGCTATTTTCTCTCAAACTACCATAATGACCAAAAACAAAGGAAAGGGTTTACTTCACCTTGTAACTCCTAGGTCACACTCCATCACTGAGGATTCAGGGCAGAATTCAAAGCAGGAACTGATGCAGAGGCCACGGAGGACCACTGCTTACTGACTTGCTCCCTGGCGGCTCAATCCACTTGCTTTTTATACAACCCAGGATCAGCTACCCAGGGATGGCACTGCCCTTTGTGTCTGGCCCCTCCCACATCAGTCATTAATCAAGAGAATGTGGACTGGGCATGATGGCACACCTTTTAAATCCTAGCACTTGGGCGGTAGAGGCAGTTAGATCCTGGTCTACAGTGTGAGTTCCAGCTCAACCATGGCCATAGAGCAAGATCCTGTCTCAGAAACAAAACAAAGACCGAAGAGAAATTGCCTCCACAGACTTGCCTACAGGCCAACCCAATGGAGGCAATTCCTTGATCCTTCTTTCTTAGCTTGTGCCAACTTAACCAAAACAAACCAGAACAACAACAAACCCCAAACAAACAAACAATCTAATACTTGGGGGCCACTGTATTCAGGTCTGGAGTTTAGCCACAGCCCTGAGACACACTTGATACAGAGTCACTAAACAGTATTGCAAGTTCCTTCCTGGGTCATCATCATCTCAGATGAAACCAACCCATTCAGAGCCTTCCTTACAGACGCCACAACAATACCTTGTGTGAAGAGAACGGCAGCTTCTCTATGTGGGTATCTTATATAATTTATACTCTTTCTTCAGCCTTAGAAAGCCATTTCCCTATGTGCAAGCAAGCTTGTGATTCCTACAACTTCCAAGTCTTCATTCACTAGAGCGGCCCATCTTTTCCCTCCTCTTTTGCTTTTGGCTTTTAAAAGCTAAAGCAAAATTGTACTTTTGTCTCAAGTAAATACCATCTGGGAGTCTGCGGGATGGCTCAGTGAGTGCAGGCGCCTGTTGTGAGTTTAAGCCCTGGAGCCCACATGGTGGGAGGAGTGGCCATCCTGCAAATTGTCCCCTGACCTCCACATGCACACACATCCACAAAGCAAATTAAAATGCAACATGGACTTAAAGTGCCATCTATCGCTATTTATTGGCTTGTCTCCCTTCCTAGGGGTCTGGGTTGACTCTAAACTCACACAGTGTCAGTATGCAGCCCAGGTTGTCCTTAAACTATTTTTTTCTTTTTTTCTTTTTATGCTTTTTCAAGACAGGGTTTCTCCATGTAGCCCTGGATGTCCTGGAACTCGCTATGTTGACCAGGCTGGCCTCAAATTCAGAGAGATCCACCTGATTGTGCCAAGCGCTGGGATTAAAGGTGTGCACCCATGCCTGGCTGAAAGTGTGGGTCTTTATTGTGATCGGTGTATTTACTTATTTTACATGTATAGTGTTTTGCCTGTATATATGTATATGTACCATGTGCATGTCTGGTCCCCTCAGAGGTCAGAAAAGGGTGCTGGAACTGGAGATTGAACCTGGGTCCTCTGGAAGAGCAGCCAGTGCTCTTAACTGCTGAGCCACCTTTCCAGCCCCGCTTTTGACTTGACCTCCTGACTGAACACTGTGTATTGGGATTACAGATGTATTACCAGGCCTATCTCATTTCCCTCCTACTCTGTAAGATCTCAGTTTTTTCATGATATGTAGATCTGGTAAACAGTTTCTACTTTACTCAAAGCTGAAAACAATGTTTAACACAGGCGAGTGCTTGTCTAACAGGTATAAAGCACTGGGTTTAGGCCAGCACTGCAAACCCCACACTTTTAATAGGAACAAGGGCAGGCCCCTTTCTGGGTTGCTCATCTGCCCCTGGCTTGCTTAGGACTCTGTCAGTTTGCCTGCCTTGTCTGTATTCATTGCTGTCCTTCTGTGTCCCTGTTTTGGTGCCTCTGTCTCTACTGTCTCCTGGTTTTCTGTGTCTCTGCCTCTCTATCTCCGTTTCTGTGTGTTGTCTCTGCCTCTCTGTATTTCTCTCTGTTGTCTCTGTCTCTGTCTCTCTCAATGACTGCTGGCCCGTTTTGTACTCACCCACTGCTGCGGTATGTGGTCTGTATGCAACAGTCTCAGAGAATATTAAACATTCAGCTGAAGGCCTCGCAGATTCCTCGAAGCCAAGAAAAGTGCAGCTCAGAGCTGGGGCACTTGCCTAGTATTCACGGTGCGGTGGGTTCTACCCACAGCACCACAACAAGCCTTCAAGTAATGCAGCATCCAGAGGAAGGGAGGAAATCCTGGCCCACCTAGGCCCCTATGTGTGTTCTGGGATAAGCTATCCCCATGTCACATATTATTTGACTCTTAGAACAAACCTATGAGGTCATGGTGACCCTCTACCAAACAGGCCCACGGGCTCTCTTTGAGATAGGCTGTAACTTGTTCAAGGCTGTTCACTGAGAAGGGGCAAAGTCAGAGCCGTAGGCCTGCACAAAGCACAGTACCATGAGGTATGGCTGGTTTGTTGTTTTACTTTTTGAGAACTCAACACCCAGCTCCTAAATGAATACACAGAGACTTATTCTTACTTATGAATGCCTGGCCTTAGCTTGACTTGTTTCTAGCCAGCTTTTCTAATTTAAATTGTCTTGTTTCTCTGTAACTACATTTTGCCTTAGGGTTTTTGTTTTTATTTATTTTTATTTTTTATTTTTTTGGTTTTTAGGAGACAGGGTTTCTCTGTATCGTTTTTGAGAGGGTCTTTGTTTTTAAAAAAGATTTATTTATTTAGCCGGGTGGTGGTGGCAGAGGCAGACAGATCTCTGTGAGTTAGAGGCCAGGCTGGTCCGACAGCCTCCAAAACAATACAGAGAAACCCTGTCTCGTAAAACCAAAAAAAAAAAAAAAAAAGATTTATTCATTTATTATGTATACAGTATTCTTATCTGCATGTATGCCTCCAGGCCAGAAGAGGGCACCAGATCTCATTTTAGATGGTTGTGAGCCACCTTGTGGTTGCTGGGAATTGAACTCAGGACCTCTCTGGAAGAGCAGTCAGTGCTCCAGTGCTCTTTAACCTCTGAGCCATCTCTCCAGCCCCTTGCCTTAGGGTCTTTTAACTTCTTTATTCTATATATCTTTCATTACTTCTTACTCCACGGCTGGCTGGGTGGCTGACCCCTGGCATCCTCCTCTCCTCCTCTCCTTTTCCTTTTCTTGCTCCTTCCTCTTTTTTTTTTGCTCCTTGTTCTTACCCTAGATTTCTCCTTTTATTTAGTCTCTGCCTGCCAGCCCCACCTATTTCTCCCTCCTGCCTAGCTATTGACCTCTTTTTTTTTTTTTTTTTGAGACAGGGTTTCTCTGTATTGTTTTGGAGGCTGTCCTGGAACTCGCTTTGTAGATCAGGCTGGCCTTGAACTCACAGAGATCCACCTGCATCTGCCTCCCGAGTGCTGGGATTAAAGGTGTGTGCCACCAATGCCCAGCTGACCATTCAGTTCTTTACTAAACCAATCAGGTGGGTTAGGCAGGCAAAGTAACACAGCTTTACAGAGTTAAACAAATGCAACATAAAAGAATGCAACAGGGCTGGAGAGACGGCTCAGTGGTTAAGAGCACTGGCTGCTCTTCCAGAGGTCCTGAGTTCAATTCCCACAACCAACTGTAATGAGATCTGGTGCCCTCTTCTGGTCTGCAGGGATACATGCAGACAAAACACTGTATACATAACAAATAAAAAAAATGCAACAATCTTTGCCTCATAAACAAATATTCTACAGCACAAATGAGTGTAACACATCTTAAACTAATATTCCACAATGATGGCCAAGTGTGAGTATTTGCGGTCTCTCTCCCTCTCTTTTTTAAGATTTATTTATTATGCATACAGTGTCCAGTCTGCACATATGCTTGCAGGTCAGGAGAGGGCGTCAGATATCATTATAGATGGTAGTGAACCACATTGTGATTGCTGTGAACTGAACTCAGGTCCTCTGGAAGAGCAGCCAGTGCTCTTAACCACTGAGCCATCTCTCCAGCCCTTGCAGTCTCCTTAGAACATGGCAGGTGCTCAAAGAACTCTGCTAAGGAAGGCAGAGCAGGGCCTCTCACACTCTTTCAACTGGAGACCTCTTTGTGCTTGAGAAAATCTTACATAACCTGAGTAGTAGGTAGCAGGTATACAAACACTTGCTGATAACCATGAAGTCATTTATGTTAAAGAAAATCTTTGGTATATATGTTTCCATTTATTAAAGATGAAAGCAGATTTCCCTGCTAATGGGAAGGATTGCTTGTTTATTTTTATGTAAAATATTATGGAATATTAGTTTAAATATGTAAAGATGTGTTACATTTGTTTATGCTGCATTTGTTTAACGATGTAAAGATGTGTTGCATTTGTTTTACCTTGCCTGCCTAAGGCACCTGATTGGTCTAATAAAAAGCTGAATGGCCAATAGCTAGGCAGAGGAGGGAGAGGTGGGGCTGGTGGGCAGAGAGAATAAATAGGAGGAGGAATTCAGACTGGGGGGGAGGGAGTTCTAGGACAACCTCCAAAACAATACAGAGAAACCCTGTCTCGGGGGGGAAAAAAAAAGGGAAAAAGGGAGAAAGAGAGGAGATGCCTGGGGCCAGCCAGACACACAGTAGGACATACAAAATGAAAGAAAAGTAAAAAGCAAAATGTAGATGAAGAGAAACGGGTTATTTTTTTGTTCTTTTTTAAAGATTATTTATTACGTATACAGTATTCTGTCTACATACCAGAAGAGGGCACAATATTGAATTGTAGATGGTTGTGAGCCACCATGTGGTTGCTGGGAATTGAACTCAGGACCTCTGGAAGAGCAGTCAGTGCTCTTAACCTCTGAGCCCTCTCTCCAGCCCTTTTTCCTCTTTTTTAAAAATTAATTTATTTTTTACATTCAATCCTAGTTCCCTCTCCCTCCCTCCCTCCCACTCCATTCACTCCTCCCTCCTCCCATCTGCTCCCCGGAGAAGGCAAGGCCTCCCCTATGAAGTCTACTAAGTCTGTCCCATCATCTAGTTGAGGCAGGACCAAGGCACCTCCCCACCCCCAGACCTCTGTGTCTAGGCTGGGCAAGGTATCTCTCCATATAGAATGACTCCACTCAGTTTGTACATTAGAGTTAGGTCTTGGACTCACTGCCAGTGGCCTCATATATTGTCCCAGTCACACCATTGTCACCTATATTAAGGGAGTCTAGTCTGGTCTTATGCAGGTTCCCCATTTGTCAGACCTGAATCAGTGATCTCTCACTAGCTCGGGTCTTGACTCCTTTGTTCATAGTTTTGCTCCTCCCTCACTTTTTCGATTGCACTCCAGGAGCTTGGCCCATTGATTAGTTGTAGATTTCTGCATCTGCTTCCATCTGTGAGAAACAGGTTAATTTAAGTCAAAGAAAAAAAGCTAGCCAGAAATTATCATAACCCAAGGCCAAGCATTCATAATCAATAAGTCTCCGTGTCATGATTCGGGAGCCAGTTGGTGAGCCAAAAGAAAGCCTGCTACATAAAGAGTAAAGTCTTGGCTGAACATTTGATACTCCAGGACCGTGGCGGAACATCTTTAGCACCTTCAGAGTCGATTCATACTTTGATTTTAAAATAATTATTATTTCTTATGTGTGTATGTCTGTGCATGGGTATGTACACACTGGTGTGGATGCATGCAGAAGTCACAGGCCTTTGATGCCCCTAAAGCTGGATGTGGGCGCTGGGAACGGAACTTGAGTCCTCTGGAAGAGCAGCAAGCGCTTTTAACTACCGAGGCATCGCTCCAGCCCTTATTTCTTTTTTCTTTTTTTTTTTTTTTTGGTTTTTCGAGACAGGGTTTCTCTGTGGCTTTGGAGACTGTCCTGGAACTAGCTCTGTAGACCAGGCTGGTCTCGAACTCACAGAGATCCGCCTGCCTCTGCCTCCCAAATGCTGGGATTAAAGGCGTGCGCCACCAACACTCGGCCCCCAGCCCTTATTTCTTATTCCCTGTGTGTATGCACAGGTGCATACATACCACAATATGCATGTACAGGCCAGAGGACTTGTGGGGGTCAGTTCTCTCTTCGTTATGTGGGTCTTGAACATCATGGCAGGGGACATGGCAGCAGGCAGAGCGGCATGGCACTGGAGCTGAAGGCACTTCTCAGTCCACAAGCACAAAGAAGTGAGAGAGCTAACTTCAATCTCCCGCCAGCCCCCAGTGACACGCCTCCCCCGAAAAGACCACACTTCCCAATCCTTCTCAAACCGGTCCACCAACTGGGGATCAAGAGTTCTAACATTGGACTCTAAGGGTCCCTTGTAATTAAGTACATTGTAAATCATTCCCGTTTTTTTTTTTCGCCAGACCTCATTGTCAGCCACCAGGGGGCTCCCCTGAGAACTTCGTAACTTCCTAATCGAGTAAACGACAATTATAGGAACGACAAATGACAAAAAAACTTTCTTCAGCCTATGACGTCCCTTGCCATTCTCCTTTTCCTGATGTAGGAGGCGGCAATCGGATGTCCCTGTGCGGGTACGAACTGGGCACTGTGTCTGCTAACATCATCTGGGCTGGCTGGATAACGATGCTGGCGCAGGCAGCTGGGGAGGCTAAGGCAGGAGGATCTCCATGATTTCCAGACCATCCTGATCTACACAGCGAGACCGATCATCTTTATTAAAAAAAAAAAGGGGGGGGGGAGGTGTCTATGGCCCGGGCTGGCCTCAACCCTAGCTCAGCCTCCGGAGCAGCGGGAGGCTTCTCCAAGTACCACTGGGATTTTCCTGCCTTAGGCAATGCCTCTCTGCAATGTTGCCTCCTTCGCGGGGGTGAGCGTTCACTGTTTTACACAAAACGCTGCATTGTCCGTTTTTTTTCCCCAACAGTTCACGAGGTTTCCAACATCAAGTCGTTTTATAGACGAGAAGCTGCATCTCAGAGGATCAGAGAAAGGGTGTGTGGGAAAGGGAGGTCCGCAGAGCCAGTTCTGTGTATCTTCGGGCGGGGAGGGGGGTCCGACTGTGCCTCAGGCCTCCCTCAGAAAGTCACGGGCATCGACGGGACCTCGCAGGGCCGGGCTGCCCCTTCGGTTGCACTCCCACGCACCCCACGGAGTCAGGGACTGAATGCCGCACTGACCCCTAAAGGGTTAAGGCCCGGGTGCCGCCCCTTTTCCCGCCCGGCTGGCGGGAGTATGAATACCCTCGCTCCGCTCCCTCCTGGAGTCCTCCGCTTCCGCTGGGTCGCCGTCGCCGCTCTTGTTCTCTCCCCTGAGAGCTCGGAAGGCCGCTCCCTTCTCCAGCGCTGTACATCCGCCCGCCTCGGTGGGCCAGACTAGCGACATGGAGGGTTGCGTCGGGGAGGAATCCTTCCAGCTGTGGGAGCTCAATCGACGCCTGGAGGCCTATCTGACCCGGGTCAAGACGCTGGAAGAGCAGAACCAGCTGCTCAGCGCGGAGCTCGGGGGACTCCGGGCGCAGTCCGGGGATGCCTCCTGGCGGGCCCGAGCCGACGACGAACTGGCAGCCCTGCGGGTCCTCGTCGACCAGCGCTGGCGGGAGAAGCACGAGGCTGAGGTGCAGCGCGACAACCTGGCTGAGGAGCTGGAGGGCGTGGCGGGCCGGTGCCAGCAGGTGCGGCTCGCCCGGGAGCGGACCAGCGAGGAGGTCGCCTGCAGCCGGCGCGCGCTCGAGGCGGAGAAGAGTGCGCAGGGCTGGCTGAGCTCCCGGGTGGCCGAGCTGGAGCGCGAGGTGGAGGCTGTGCGGGCCGCGCACGAAGAAGAGCGCGCGCACCTGAACGCTCAGGCCGCCTGTGCGCCCCGCCGGCTCCCCGCGCCGCCCCGCGGGCCCCCCGCACAGGCCCCCGAGGTGGAGGAGCTGGCCCGACAGCTGGGCGAAGCGTGGCGCGGGGCGGTGCGCGACTATCAGGAGCGCGTGGCTCACATGGAGAGCTCGCTGGGCCAAGCCCGCGAGCGGCTGGGCCGAGCCGTGCGGGGCGCTCGGGAGGGTCGCCTAGAGCTGCAGCAGCTGCAGGCTGAACGCGACGGCCTCCAGGAGCGCAGAGAGGCGCTGGAACAGAGGCTGGAGGGCCGCTGGCAGGACCGGCTGCAGGCCACTGAAAAGTTCCAGGTGAGGAGGTCACCGACCAGAGTAAGACCAGGCTCGAGGAAGTGCTTAGGATGCCAAGAGACCTTCAGGAAGGGAGTGGGGCAAGAGAAAGCGCAACTGTATTCAGAAGCCCCTGCCCAGAACACACAGGTCCTAGACTTCCCGTCCAGGCAGGGATGGGAGTTCTGAAACCTCATGGCACAGCCCACTTGTAAGGCCTGCATTGTAGCAGTTTCCACTCTTTGAATGGCAACTTCCCTTCAGGATGGCTCCCTGTGTCCTTTCTTATGCTGTTGTCAATCAGAAGGTTCCAAGCACATGCTCCCTCAGTGCCCCAAGGTCCCTAGCAACCAAGGTGAAGGAAGACAGGGCGAGACAACACTGACCACCAGCCTCTCAGTGTCATGATTTCTCAGCTCCGTGGAACACATTCCAGAGCCCGGGGCACCCTCCCCCTCATACTGCACGAGCCCGGGGCACCCTCCCCCTCATACTGCACAGATGTGACCAACAGCTGAGAAAACAGCCTCTTGCCTGGTCCAGACGGACGTCTGGAAGAGGCCACCATCCCACTCCTCTTGGAGGAGAAAGATTCCAGAACATGTGGGAAGTGGGAAGCCAGGCCTGCCTTGAGGAGCTGGGGACAGTGAGGGCCCAGCTGCCTTCGTTCCGAGCCGACTCTTTATAAATTGCTTTTTCCTTTTTCCTTCTGTAACCCATCTCCTCTCCTTTACCCCATCCCCTCCCATGGGAGCTGGGCTCTCAATAACAAGTGCTACCATTGAGTCAGCATCCTCAAGAGAAGCCTGGTCTAAGAGAGGCTGGAGTGTCCCCTGGTATCGGGGATCCAGTCCAGTGCTCTGGGCAGGGAGGGTGTAGGTAGAGGAGCAGGAGTCTGCCCTACAAAGAAGTCATCAAGAGCAGAAAGGAGGGTCAGGGCCCCAGCGAGACTCCTCCTACTCACTCTCTGCCTTGCTTTGCAGCTGGCCGTGGAAGCCCTGGAGCAGGAGAAGCAGGGCCTACAGAGCCAGATCGCCCAGATCCTGGAAGGGGGGCAGCAGCTGGCACACCTCAAGATGTCCCTTAGTCTGGAGGTGGCTACATACAGGTACACAGATGCACACAGGGCTGACTCCTTGCCTGAAGGGTCTAGGAAGTTGACTTTGTACTTTCTGTGACCTTCAGCTGTGGCTTTATAAAAATATCTATGTGTATTTGTGTGTGGGTAACGTGTGCAGGTGTCCTAAGAGGCCAGAAGGGGGCATTGGGTCCCCTGGAGCTGGAGTTACAGGTGGCTGTGAGTAGCTCCACATGGCTGCTGTGAACCAAAGCCCTGTTCTCTGCAAGAGCGGCAAACACTCTTACCGCTGAACCATGGGTCCAGCCCTGAGTCACTTAACAATTTTATTATGTTTATTTACTTGTCTATGATGGTACTTGAGCCTACCTGCTACCCCTTGAGCTCAGGACCAGAAGAGGTGAGGAGGTAATGTTTAAAGAGATGCTCAGTCAGCTGGGCGTTGGTGGCGCACGCCTTTAATCCCAGCACTCGGGAGGCAGAGGCAGGCGGATCTCTGTGAGTTCGAGACCAGCCTGGTCTACAAAGTGAGTTCCAGGACAGCCTCCAAAGCCACAGAGAAACCCTGTCTCAAAAACCAAAAAAAAAAAAAAAAAAAAAAAAAAAAGAGATGCTCAGTCTTCAGGGAGAAAACTGGACGCACAGGCATCTGCGTCTGGCTTTTCTCAAAGTATCTACAGTTCCTGTGCAGATGCCCTGGGAGGACCTGGGCAATCTCAGAAGAGACCTGCAGGTGTGAGGTGTGTCTGGTCATGATGTCTGCCATCTGACCTAGCCTCAGCTATATCCAGGGTAGGGGTGGGGCTCCCAGCCTTCTGCTTCCTTTCAAGCCCTAGAGTCCCTGGCCCCGTCCAGCTCCCTACCCATTTTTTGGTTGCCTCAGGAAGGCTGAGCCTCATCTCTTCTGGGAAAAGACCCCAGCTGGGAGCCCCACTGCTGAGGGCTGGGGCTATCATTCCAGAGTATGGGGCCAGGGCAGGGTGTCCCCTTCTGTAGAACCCATTGGCAAAGAGAAGGTGGAGGTAGGCCCAGAGAGGGAAAGCGGTGAGGATTTAAGGACTGTGCGCCTGAGGCAGGATTCGGCCTGAGGACAGAAGAAAGGCTGTGGGCAGGAACAAGAGACTAGCTCGGAATCCCTTGTGAATTGGTTCCTCCTCCAATCAGCTCCACAGGCCACCAAGACAGGGGCATGAATCTAGAGACCTCTGCCCTGAAGGGTTTGCGGGCCTTAACCCCAGTCAGCCCTCTGAGGGGAAGGGTCCGGGCAGCTCAGAGGAAGGTAACCACTGGTGTTTGAGGTCTGAAAAGAATTTGGAGAGGGGGAGCTGAATTCGTTTGCTTTTGTCTGTCACCGGCTCTGGGGGCAGAAGAGGGAGCCACCCCATGGGAACAGCCTGAGAATTCCCACTTCCCCCTTAGAAGCCCCCCTTTCCTGGCCCTCCAGATGGTGGTGTACACAAAAGACAGTAATTAGCATGAGAATCGGCCTCCCTCCCAGAGGATGAGGTCATCGGCCTTGGCCTTGGGTGGGGAGGCGGAGACTGATCTGAGGAGTCTGATCTAAGCGTTAGAAATTCACTTGGCCCTGTGTCTGACTGTGGGAATCTGCATGTGGGGTCTCCCTGTATCTCAAATGTGGGTGTGACCAAGTATGCCATAGCTGTGGGTATATGACTGTGTGGCTATTGTATGACCGACCATGGTAGACAGTGAGCCTGTAGTGTCAGCTGGGACTGACCCCATTTCCCCTTCTCCCTACCAGGACCCTGCTGGAGGCTGAGAATTCCCGGTTGCAGACTCCTGGCCGAAGTTCCCAGGCTTCCCTTGGTTTTCAGGGTAAGAGGAGGAGCCAGCTGCTCCTGGAAGTGCCACCCTTTACTCTCAATTATCTTTCCTAAAGAGCACCAATTGATCTAAATCTTTGCTCTGTGGCTCCAGCCACGCTGATGTTCCCAGTCTAGCCAGTGGGGGTCAGAGAAAATGGCTGGTATACTCTGGCCAGGGTGAGGGCTGCTCTGTGGTGAGATTAGGGCATACTTACAGTATTTCTTACTCCGCTCTTCCAGACCCCAAGCTGAAGCTGCGTTTCCTTGGGACACCAGAGAACCAGCACCTGGGATCTGTGCTCCCTGTCCTCAGCCCAACACCCCTCCCTTCCCCCTTGCCTGATACCCTTGAGACACCCGTGACAGCCTTTCTGAAGACCCAGGAATTTCTTCAGGCCCGAACCCCCACCTTGGCCAGCACACCTATCCCACCCATGACTGAGGCTCCCTGTCTTGCAAAAGCAGAGGTCAGAGCCCAGGATGCCCCTCTTTCCCTGCTCCAGACACAGGGTGAGAGGCAGCAGGCTCCAGAGCCTCTCTGGGCCAAAGCCACAGCGTCTGTTTCCACCGGTGTCCTCACAGAACTAGAGGAGGCTGGAGGCCAGCAGCCAGGCCACTTCCCTGAGGATGCGACTGCCTCAGCTCCATCCCTCAGTCCTCATCACCCTGTTTTAGAGGCTAAAGATGGAGACTCCACTGAGTCTAGAGGATCTAGCATATTCCAGGAAGATGAAGGGCAAATCTGGGAGCTAGTAGAGAAAGAAGCTGCCATAGAGTTAAAAGTAGAGAGCAGCTTGGCACAGGAAACACAAGAAGATGGTCTACACACAGAAGAAATCCAGGATTCCCAGGGTCCTTTGCAAAAGGAAACCCTAGAGGCTCTAGGAGAGGAGCCACTTATGTCTCTGAAAATCCAGAACCATGAGACCCCTGGGAAGGAGAATTGCAATTCTCTGAGGTCTGTAGACGAGAACCAGGGAACACTAAAAAGCCCAGAAGAAGAAAAACAAACACTACTCAAGTCTTTAGAAGAAAAGGATGTAGAGGTAGAGAAAACTCTGGAAAAGGGGGTTCCTGAACTGTCTAAGCCTTTAGGAAAAGAAGACCCAAGAATCGAGGATCAAGAATTAATGTCTCCTGAAGGTACACTAGAGACGCTTTCATTTATAGGAAAGAGAAATGAAGAGGTAGTGAGGTCTTCAGAAGAGGAGAACATAGAGTCATTGGCAGCTTTTAAAAAGGAGAGCCAGCATCCTCTGGGATGCCCAGAAGAAGAGATCCAGAGGGTTGAGAGGCTGATAGAAAAGGAGGGTCAGGAGTCCCTGAGCTCTCCAGAAGAGGAGGACCAGGAGACAGATAGACCTTTGGAGAAAGAGAATGGAGAGCCGCTAAAGCCTGTAGAAGAAGAGGACCAGCTGTTTGAGACACTGATAGAAAAGGAGGGTCAGGAGTCTCTGAGCTCTCCAGAAGAGGAGGACCAGGAGACAGATAGACCTTTGGAGAAAGAAGAGGACCAGCTGGTTGAGAGACTGGTAGAAAAGGAGGGTCAGGAGTCCCTGAGCTCTCCAGAAGAGGAGGACCAGGAGACAGATAGACCTTTGGAGAAAGAGAATGGAGAGCCGCTAAAGCCTGTAGAAGAAGAGGACCAGCTGTTTGAGACACTGATAGAAAAGGAGGGTCAGGAGTCTCTGAGCTCTCCAGAAGAGGAGGACCAGGAGACAGATAGACCTTTGGAGAAAGAAGAGGACCAGCTGGTTGAGAGACTGGTAGAAAAGGAGGGTCAGGAGTCCCTGAGCTCTCCAGAAGAGGAGGACCAGGAGACAGATAGACCTTTGGAGAAAGAAGAGGACCAGCTGGTTGAGACACTGATAGAAAAGCAGGGTCAGGAGTGTCTGAGCTCTCCAGAAGAGGAGGACCAGGAGACAGATAGACCTTTGGAGAAAGAAGAGGACCAGAGAGTTGAGAGGCTGATAGAAAAGGAGGGTCAGGAGTCCCTGAGCTCTCCGGAAGAGGAGGACCAGGAGACATACAGACTTTTGGAGAAAGAGAATGGAGAGCCACTAAAGCCTGTAGAAGAAGAGGACCAGAGAGTTGAGAGGCTGATAGAAAAGGAAGATCAGGAGTCCCTGAGCTCTCTGAAAGAGGAGGACCAGAGGATTGTGAAAACTCTAGAAAGAGAGAATTGGGAATCTCTGCGGTCTCTTGATGAAAACCTGGACACTGTTATGCCACTAGAAAGCAAGAACCAGAAGCCACTGAAATCTCTAGAAGCAGAAGAGGAGCAGAGAATTGTGAAACCTCTAGAAAAAGTGAGCCAGGACTCCATCGGGTCTCTAGAAAAAGAGAATGTGGAGCTACTGAGGTCTCTAGAAGACGACCAGATAACTGAGAGTCTATTAAAAAAAGGGACTCAGGAGTCCCTGGAATCTCATGAAGATAGAAACCAGGAGACCCAAGATCCACAGAGATTTCTAGAAGAGGAGGGCCAAGGGATTGTGAAACAGCTAGAAAAAGAAAACCAGGGCTTCCTGGGGTCTCTAGAAGAAGAGAAGGTGGTCAAGAGATCTCTAGAAAGAGAGAACCATGAACCACTGAGTTCTGTAGAGAAGGACTGGGTGACTGAGAGCCTGCTAGAAAGAGAGAGTCAGGACTCAGGAAAGTCTCTTGAGGGCCAGGAGGCCTTTAGATGTCTGGGAAAAGAGGATCCAGAGTCCTTGCAATTTCCTGAAGTTCAGGACCAAGAGATACAGAGATCTCTTCAACAAGAGACTCAGCAGACACTGGGGGCTCTCGGGGATGAGCAGATGGCATCGGAACCACCAGAAAAGGTGGGTCCAGAGTTACTGAAGTTTCTTGGGAATGGCCAGGAAATAGTTAGATCTCTTGAAGAGCAGAACCAAGAGTCACTGGTGTCAGTGAAAGAAACAAGTGTGGAGACAGCGAAGTCTTCAGACATGGAGGACATAGAACCGCTGAAGAGTGCAGACGAGGACCTGGAAATAATCAACTCTGCAGGAGCTCAAGAGTCACTATGGTCTATGGAAGTGACTAGAGAGACAACGAGACCCCTAGAAAAAGAAGTCCAAGAATCACTGGGGTTTGTGGGTGGGAACCAAGAGATACTGAGACCCCTTGAGAGGGGGAATGAGGAGTTGGGATCTCTGGGCAAGTGGAACCTAGAGGCTGTGGACTCTCCAGAAGCGGTGGAGGAGGGCAGGCAACCCCTGGGAGAGGAAGCATGCCTAGAGATGGGAGAACACCAGGAACCGCCGAGGTCTCTGGGAGAGGTGGAGCAGGGGCTGCCTGGCTCTGGAAATCAACAAAAGTGGGAGGACAGGGCAGTGGAGAACGCAGCAGCCGATCAGGGCCCAACCCTAGGGAGGACGGGAATAGAAAGTGAGGATGAGGCAGAGCTGCCCCTGAGTGGGCAAGGAGAGAAGGAAGAAGATGCTGAGGAGAGGGAGCTGCAACTAGACGCCATGGGGGAGGCCTGGAGCCTGGCGAGCTCTGAGCCCCAGGAGCCGAGGGTCCCTAGTGAGGGAGGGAGTGCTGGGGCCCCCCAAGGCTTGGAGGGTCAGTCAGAGCAGGTGGGGGTCCTAGGGGTCCCAGTTGGTCAGGGAATGCCAGAGGTGACAGAGCCCCTGTTGCAAGAGGATGTAGCCCAAGCAGGTAAGCGAGACCCGATAGAGCTTACCCTGGGCTCAGACGCTGCTACCAGAGCCGGGCTGGGCCTGGAGCAGGAAGTGGCAGGGTCAGGAGGGTCAAGGCATCTGGCCAGGGAGGAGGCCATCCACCCATCCCTGGGGGAGGAAAGTGTAGAGGCAAAGATAGCTCACGACTTGGAAGGGCCTGGAAAAGAACCGAAGGAGGCAGGTGCCCTGGAGTCAGAGATCTCTGAATTGCCCAGGACTAGCAGTGATGTTCTGGAATCCAAGGGCTGCAAGCAGTCAGAGCCTGTGTTGGGATGGGCAGTGGAGGAAGCCTCGGTGGAGGCCTCAGACCATGAGGGCAGTGATGCCCCTCAGCCCAGGCCCTCAGAGACAGAGGGAGATGAGGGTGCACAGGCAGCACTAGCACCCCCTGGTCCCAAGCTCATGGAACCCTGTTCACCCACCCCAATCCTGAAAGATGCCTATGAGTGGCAGCCCCAGGCTGAGGGCACCCGGGAAACTGGGCGGCAGCTAGAAGGTGGGTCTGCATCACTGGAAAGGGTAGAAGATGAGCAAGAGTTTGGTCTTGGGGGGATCCCCGAGGGCCTCCAGGATTGGGAGGAGAGCAGAGAGGAAAGCGAGGCTGATGAGTTAGGTGAAACTCTCCCTGACTCTACTCCCCTGGGCCTCTACCTGAGGTCCCCTACCTCCCCAAAGTGGGACCAGGCTGGAGAGCAGAGGCTCTCCCCTCAAGGGGAGGCCAGGAAGGAAGGCTGGGGTCCTGCTGTCCCGGCTGCCCAGGGCCTCAGCAACCCACCGGGGGAGGAGGAGCGAGGCCATGACTCTGACCTATCATCTGAGGAGTTTGAGGACCTGGGGACTGAGGCCTCTCTTCTTCCAGGACTTCCTAAGGAGGTGGCAGATCATCTGGGCCAGGTACCCCCAGGGCCAGAGCCTGAATGCTGGGATCAGGGTGGGGAGTCTGATGGGTTCGCTGATGAGGAAGAGAGTGGGGAGGAGGGAGAGAGTGGGGAGGAGGGAGAGGAAGAAGAGCATGAGGACGGGACTGAGTCAGGGGCTCAATGGTGGGGGTCAGGACCCTCCAAGGTCCAACATGTCACCCAAAGAGGGGACCTCCAGGAACACGAGTCTGTGGGTATCAGTGGTCCCTGGGATGATGGCTGGAGAGGTGCTGCAGCTGGTATCTCTGTGACTGGCCTGGAAACTGAGTCTCAGGACAGTGCTGAGCCTTCTGGGTCAGAGGTATCTGAGTCTGTCTCCTCAGAGGGGGAGGATCAAGCCCCTGACCATTTGGATACCCCCCAAGGGGTGACTAACGTGGTCCCAGGGGCAGGAGACACCTTCGGTATCAGTGGCCAGGCCCCCAACTTGGAGTCAGAACACATGAACGGGAGGTTGGAGAATGGGTTAGAGCAGTCTGAGGGGCAGGGAGTCCTGGACAGGCACCAGGATCAAGGACACCCTTCGCAGCAACAGGAAGTGGGTGCCTTAAAGGCCCCTTTGTTAGGGTCTCCTGTGCACCGAGGCCCAAGCCAGTCCCTGGAGTTCCCTTTGAGTGGGGCAGATAGAGATTCCTGGTCCTCGGGGGAAGACTAGACAGTGCTCCTCTGATGCTGAGGGCTTCATGGTGGGGGGATGTCCTCCCTGCTCGGGGCCAGCACCCTCAGTTTCGATAGCTTGACCTGTGGTGTCTGTCCTGGAGAGGTGTGGCGGGCTGAGGGAGATGAGGTCCTGTCAGGGCCATCTTGCTTGGATTGTCCTGAAGGCTCAAGCTGAGTCCCGGCACTAGGCCCCCTTTCTTCTGCATCTCCCTGCCAGGAGAAGCCTGGCTCTGAGCTTTCCCCTGGGGCTGCTCTGGCCAGGTCTTGCTAACCCTGCCTGTCTACAGTAGAGCCATCCTCACCATGTCTGGTCTGGCCTATACCCAGAGGAGCTGAGGGCAGCAATTGTGACCACCGACCTATCATCTTATCTCAGCCTGCTGAGATTTTGTTCTGCTCTTCCTTGTTTGAATAAAGTTGTGTCCCTCCCTACAAAGTCTGGCTGCTTCCGTCTCTTTGTCAGGGGGTCCTCCTGCTTAAGAAGCAATGGCGTGGAGGGGCTGCCTCTGGGGGAGGCCAGGTTGTCATCTCCACCCACAGCACTGATTACAGGGCCCTCCCGCTGCATGGCCTCCTAGCCAGCCCCTCAGTGTCTCCAGCATAATTAGCCCCCTGGTTCCTAAACCTAAACAGTTGTCTAGTCTGATGACTGACAGGGTTGGCGTTGGGGAGGGAGGACAGAGGCCTGGCATGCTTTAGTCTGGCTGTGCAGCCTCAAGTCATCACTTTCTCTGAACTTCATGAGGGGAAGCTGGATCGCCCTACGTCCTGGGTGGCCTCCCGGGGCTGAGAGAACAGGAGAGGGGCCAGGGGAAGCCTCTGCAGTTCACGGTGGAGGTCTCCCCTGTTATGTTTCTCACATGCTGAAGCAAGGGACGGGGGAGGGGGAGTGGGGGGATGTGAGGGAGCTGTCCAGGTGAGAGCCTGGATGTTACGCTCTATGTGATGCTGGGGGTGCCTCAGAAGCAGGCTCTGCCGGCAGGCTTCTCTCTCAACATCTGTGCAGGGAGGCACCCACACTCCTCAAAGCTGGGGTACCCAAACAGGAGGTACCTGTCAGTTACCTCTGCAGGGAGGAAGATAAATGCCCAGATATTATCTAGATACCGTGATGAGGATGACACTGGCTGTCCCACATGGACACTGCCAGAAGCCCCGAGCAGGCTCCTTCTCTCCTTAGGATCAAGAGTTCCCCACGAGGGTAGACAAAGGTTGTCCTAGCCAACTGGCACTGTGGGCTCCTCTGTACACAACTTTCAAATCTATGTTCTGGTTCCGGGGCCCATTTCATCCTCACCCTTGCCCTGGGGGTCCAGGATCCCGATTCTCTACCCCACCCTCCTGGCAGCCCAAGCCTCCGCTCTCTCCTTCCTGTACACTAATAACAAGGCTCTCCTGTCTGGTTTGCCAGCAGACAGGGCAGAGATCAGCATGCTGGCAAAAGGCAGGCAAAGCCTGTCACTCTAAGGGGACAAGACATCCTGTGCTTCCTCTCTCCAGGCCCTTGGGTACCACTGCTTGGGTGAATACCAAAGGCAGAGCTAAGCCAACTAGCCCTGCCCTGTACCAGATCCCTATCCTGTACCCTCACAAGCTAATGATCCTCTATAGTTATCCCAACTGGCCACTGATGCTAAACTCTACACAGGGGTCAGGTTGCAAGTTAGAGAGAAGTGAGGACTTCTCTTCGGGTTTATATATACAGCAGGAGGCGTGGTCTGTATGGAAATGGTTCTGAGTCCAAGCAGCAAGGGAGGTAAGAGATGGACAGTGACAGGGACACCCCTGCTTGGGATCATCAGTGTGGTTGTCATTTTACTGACCATCTGCATCATGCAGGCTCTGAGAGCCCTGACAACTTATAACACAGCTTTTTGCACAGGAAGCTTTAGCAGTTCTGGAACAAAGGCTGCCAAGTTGAAATTGTCTCTGGACACAGACGCATGCTGGGCAGGGGTGCAGAGGAGGGCAGGCTGCCCCGAGTGGCCTGTGCTGGGGGGAATACTGGGTGTATGGGGAAACAGCAGCACCTAGAACAGAAGAGATCTGGGTAGTGGAAGACAGGAAGCCGGCAGAGTGGTGGGAAGAAAAGAGGGTCGAAGAAGGCCTTGGGGAGATGGCAGGGAGCCCTGGCAGCGGGCAAAGTCCTCACCAGGAAGCCAGGAAGCACAGACTCCTCCTAGGAGAAAGGGATGCTTCTCAAAGGCTTGTGCACAGGTGCCACCTCCAGGACTTCCGTTTCCTGACAGACTCTGAGCAGGAACAGGCCAGAGTCTGTTAATGGTGCAGGTGCAGGTCAAGATGTGGGGACGGGCTTGGGGGATGACAGTAAGACATGGGGGGGGGCAAAGTGAGGTCTCAGGAGCTGTGCAGAAGACTGGGAGCACAGGACAGCGTGGCCCAGGGCTGGTGCAAACCCTGGACGTGGGGGTGCCATTTTCTAAGACAGAGATGCCTTGGGACAGGGCAGAGGGCATGCTTGGGACGCAGGACTCAGGAGAGAGGACCAAGCGGGGACAAGAGTTGCAATCTCAGCAGGCTCACAGAGACCCTGGGATCTCCTCGAGGACAGCCCTGAAGAAAGCTGACCAGATGGCCCTCCGAGGGGACAAAAACAGGACGAGGACACTAAAGTGCCGCAGGGAAGCAAGGACTGGTTGGTGCCTGGGAGTCCTGAGTCCTGAGTGAATGTGCCAGCAGGACACACTTCTAAGGGTGGAGTCCCCACAGAGGAGAACGAAGAGGGGCAAGAGAGGAAATATTCCCCAACACACACACACAGCACGAGACGGTGGGAGGTTATTCTGGGGCCTCCTCTGGTAAATATAGCCTCTGAGCTAGCCGGAGACCGGCTGGGGGGGGGGGGTGTGGGGCGGAGGTGGCTTCCTCAGTTTGTTTGGGGCACTTCCTTATAAGGCTGTGCAGGCTGAGGCGCCTCCAAGGGTGAGGTCAGGGGCAGAGGCTCCCTCCGGTCCAGCCTGATGCTGCTCCCTGTAGCTGCCAGAGTCTCCAAGGAAATCAAAGTCTTGACTTTGTGTTACAGCCAAAGGCGCTCTGATTGTGGCCTCTCAAGTGCTCCCTCCACCTTCCTGCTCGGAGCTCCCACTCTGGGCCGGGCTCTCAGGTGGTCTTGAGCCCCTGGACCCCCAGGGCCTGGGTTTTACCACCTGTAAGGTACTGAGTGAACGAATCCTTCCTCGAGGCTCCAAATAGTTCTGACCTGGGTGACATCACTGTTGGCCTCTGGGTCAAAGAACTGGCATTCAATCACTGTCTGAAAGAAATCCCCCTCCATTCCTGTGCTGCCCACAGTCCACACCCCAGCCTCGCCCTGGGCCACCAGCTGCCGCCCCTTGACCTGTGCTGCTACAGCTGCTGTCCCTCAGCGCCACCCTCTCTGGTGGGGGATGAAGGAATGCGATTTCATTTTGTCTGGAATGCGCTGTCTGTGCTTCCCCTGGAGGGGAGCCCACCCAGCCCAGAAAACCCAACTAGACTCTGACTCAGGGCCAGGCTCTCTAGTGGATTCCTATTATACCCATCTCACCTCCCAGGGGAGGGCTAAATTCTGGGGTGGGCACCACCGCAGGATGGTTGGAAGTTAGACTCGAGTCCTCCTGGGAGGAGGGGGAAGAGCCTTTTCTCCCTAGTCCAGGTGGTGAAGAAAGGTTGCCAGCAGTTGTCCCTGAGCCCGCAGACCACCCTAGGACCACACTAGAGCACGAGCTGGAACCACGGACACAGCCTGGATTGGGGCAGAGGAGGAGAGCAGTGAGGACCCCAGCAGCCACTCCGATCCCTGCCGCCCACCTTCTAAGCCAACAGTGCAGCACCTGCCAGCGTCTCAGGGGTGTCTGACCTGCCTCAGCCCTCTCCAGGCCTGGTGCCCAGGTCCCTCTCGTAATGCAACTATCCTATCCTTCTGTACGCACTGCCCCGAAAGGATGGGCCCCGGGTGTCTGAACCCCAGGGACGGTAGGTACCAGCTTCTCCCCTGAGTCTCTTCCTCCAGTCATGATGAGCTCCCCTCCCCCCCCCAGGACTCAGCTGTGGCTCCAGAAATAAGCTGAGGCAGGTGCCAGAGGCCTCTGTCGAGGAAGCCCCTCTCTGCAGCTGCTCACAATCTGTTGGCCCTGGGCCCCAGGAAGGGTGCCTCCACGGGAGACTTGGGCGAGTCCTGGACTCCTCCTGGGTTCTCTGGGGCCCTTTGTTCCTGTAAATGGAAGCCTCAGTCACCACTCGGGGATCCCTTCAGCCCTCTTTCCCTTCTCCCCAGCCTTCCCGAATCGCTGTCTCCCCAGGATTGCTTTGAGTTCCAGGCGCCTTAGGGGGGGACCTTCAGCTGACTGTAATGGGGAACCGGAGGTACAGAGTGACACATTTTGTCAATGATGAAGTGTCTCCAGATGCCACCTGGGGTCAGCAGACGTGGGCCAGGAGCTTTGGGCTGCCTCGCGTTGAGTATTAAATATGAGTAGTGTTTAGTTGCGGTCGTAAGCGGTCAACACTCTTCTATTAGCAATCAACCTAAACACCAAGACAGAGCCATGTGGGAGCCAGAGGCTCAGGATCCACCCATTTAGCCTAGTGAGACTGTAAGGACTCAGGCACTATGCTGGCCTGCCCCTGTCACCTGGCAGGATGCACTCAGGCAGCACCCTGGTCAGCCCAGGGTTCTAAAGGACCCTTTAGAAGAAAGACCCTCGCCCACTTAGGCTCCCTTTCTGCTCTTTCCCGCTGTTCCCCTGGGTCAGACAGGACTTTTCCTGTTTCCCTCTTTTCTTTTGTCCTCTCTCTGTGTCTCTTTACCTCTGTCTTCCCTTCTTCCCTCCACTTTCTGATCAAACTTCTCACTTAAGCTCTGTCTGCCTGGTGTGTTTGTCCCTCTGCCTGGGTCACCCTCGCCTCCCATGATGACAATGGATTCCGCCAAGGTCCCCCATGCAAGGTCCCTCTCAAGCTTATTGTCATATCCTACGCTCTCTCTCTCTCTCTCTCTCTCTCTCTCTCTCTCTCTCTCTCTCTCTCTCTCTCTCTCTCTCTCTCTCTCTCTCTCTTTGAGACAGGGTTTCTCTGTATTGTTTTGGAGGCTGTCCTGGAACTCACTCTGTAGACCAGGCTGGCCTAAACTCACAGAGATCCTCCTGCCTCTGTCTCCTGAGTGCTAGGATTAAAGCATGCCCCACCACCGACCACCGCCCGGCTTCTCTTCTCTTTCCCAGCCTTTCCTCAGGCTCTGTCACTGAATTTAACAGTCACTCTGCCCAGGAGGAAGCTGGCTCTTTTGCAGCAAGCCAGATAGAAGTCAGAGCTGAGGGAAAACCTCCGTCTAGGGAAGGGAGAGCTGCTTGCATCATGCTCGGAGAAGGGCACCTGAGCCGGCCTCGCGGGCCGGGATCTGACTACAGTGCCTGAAAAAGACCTCTGACCGGCTGGACGTTTTTAGAAGTCTTCGGGAACTGCTAAGTCACTGTGGACACCAGGACAATGGGGCCCTTTCTGTCCCTGTGCAGGAGTCCGGCCCCCAGTGAGGTTGGGCGGTGCTGTGGCACGCAAGGGGATGGTGAGCAGCGGGAAGTGGAATGTGCCAGAGCATCCAGGGCAGCGGGAACCTGGCAGGGGCTAAATCACAGGCTCCAAGGACCCGGCAACACTCAAGCCCTGCCTGCTGTCCAGGGTGGTCTCTCTTTCCAATACCTCCTAAACCCCAGGACAAGACGCTTTACTCATGTGAAGGGGGCCCAGAGCTGGGCCTCACAGTCAGGGTCCTGATGGTGTCGCCGAGCTGACTGGAGGTGTGGCCCTTTTCCGTCTCTGCAAAGACTACCAGGGTGCACCATGTGGGACCTCTTTCTGAGGTGCAGGCTAGCTACCTTCTGTGCAGGGCACTGCTGAGTCATCCCAGGACACCCTCCCCCTCCCCCTCCCCCCCTTCCTCCGGAAGCCTAGCCTAGCCAGGACGAAGCTTCCTGTTTGCTGCTCGGCCAGAGAAGACCAGCAGGTGGTGGAGGATTCTTGTTCTCATCCTCCATCTACTTCTGGAACTCACAGAGCAGAGAAGGTGGAGGACCCATACCCTGGGAGACTTGATGAGAATCCTGGGCTGGGCAGCCCAGGGTACCACAAACCCACCCTAGGATCTCAGTGGGTTTTGAACTGGAAGAACAGACACCTTCTCCAGCCTGCTCCTTTTCAGGACACCAGCGTCTTGATCCACTCAGCTCCAGCTAAATGCCCTGACACCTCCAGCATGCATTGCGCGGGCAGCCACGGGCCAGTGCAGCGCAAAGCAGGGTCCGTTCATTCTCTCCCAGTCTGTACTCTCAGGCCATTCTGGGTTGGGTGTGTGGGAAGCAGATGAGCCCAGGCCTGGATGAAGGAAGGTGGTAACGGTGGTGAGGTCTGTGAAGTGTGTGTGTGTGTGTGTGTGTGTGTGTGTGTGTGTGTGTGTGTGTGTACAGAAGAAGGGTTAGGAAAACCCCAGGTCTGCGACTCTCAGCACTGTCTCCTTGTCAACTGGTGTTTCCCAGGTCGGCTGGCTTTTAGAAAAGAACCAAGAATCGCCGGGTATGTCGATGGGCATAGGGACGGTGTACACATGACACTCAATGCTGAGTGAGCCGGGTGCGAGGACCTGCAGCCATGATTTGTCTTGTTGAACAGGACGGGCACTCTAGCCATGCAAGGCTGCTCTGAGGAGTCCGCGGCGCTCTGGAGGCTTCAGGCACTGGTCACCCACTTCCTAGCTTTCAGTGACCTCATCACTTCAGCCTCCACTGACTCAGCCCAGGCCGGCCCGGGAAGTCCTGCACTCCCCGCACCCAGCTGCCCCGCAATTCTAACAGTCCCGCATGACAGAAAGACCGAGACGCCCCCTGGTGGCCTCTTGGCCTCCTTCGTCCCAATCCACCATACCCTCTGGAGTCACGTACCTGTATCCTCCGCGCCCTCTACTGGTCACAACCGGTGAGGCCCTCGGCGAGGCGGAGGACCACGGTCCTTCTTAGCTTGTTTTAAATTTCCATCCTCCTGCTTCTCCATCCGACGGCCAGCCTTCCCTTCAGTGCTTCCTGGAGGCACTCAGAATGAAGCCACCAGGAAGCTGTCTCTCCCCAAACCAGACTCTTCATTCAGCTGGTGCAGTGATGAATTCTCAACGGGCTGGGCAACTCTCGCATGAGGCGCTGCTCTATCCAACAGCTTCTTGGTGACTTCTCCGACCCTTTTGCAAGCTAATAATCACAGCGGCGGCCGTACTACACCTACCTACAGAGGTTCTGCCCAACACTGACTGTCCACACACATACAGAAGCATCCAATTTGTTTGGGTCCAAACAACTTTATTTCCATCTGGTTTTGCTGTCACTCCACCCAGAGTCAAGAATGAGTAGCACAGAGTCCCCTAGAGAAGCCGAGGGACAAGAGAGCAGTTGAGGCACTTAGGGACTTACCCGTTGTCCTGAGGGTAAAACCTGGGGACCAGGTATGAGACAGAGGGCCTAGGCTAGGTGGAGCATGCAAGTGTCTCCCAGAAACCCCTTCTGGTACTGTCCTCTGAACTCCAGTCCTACCCCCGCCCCCCGCACGTCACTCCCTGTTACGGGAAGAGCACAGGCCGTTGAAACGAGAGGACAGTGCCCGGGCAGCAGTCTTCCACGCTGGCTCCCTACAGACTGGACGGAGGTGTCAGCGGTGCCTTCCTGTGCCTTGGGAGCTGCCCCTGTGGCCCTTCTGAGGCGTCCACTGAACGCAGAGCACGGGCCTAGGGAAGATCACATGCTCACGCTCCACACTGGACTCCCCTGAGTCCTTGATATTTAACTCCTGACCTCATTAAAATATTTGCCCCGCCCCGGGAGCCCAGGTGTGGTTGCGTGTTCTCAGCCATCCCCACCTAAGCGGGCTGTGGACCCCCAGTCCACTTCGTCTATTGGCCCCAGAGAGAGGCAGCGGTCACAAGCTCGCACAGCCAGGGAATGACGGGCAGATGCGTCTTAGGTGGCTGGTGGCCCCACCTGCTTCCCCTTGTCACTCACAGGCCTTCGGGGCACACAGGAAATCTGAGGGGCCTCCCAAAGTCCATTCTCCTGGCAGCGGATCAAAGGCAGGTTGCGCTGGGCCAGCCCCTCTCGGCACCGGTATCGCAGAACAGTGTCCACCGCGTAGCGCAGCCGAGGACGACCAAATATTTGAGCCAGGGGCAGCTGTGGTGGAGGCCCACAGGACACTGCAGGGGACAAACAATTAGAAGCTGGGAGCCTGGCCTGTGGACGATGGTTCCCAGAAACTTGATGGGGAGGAAAGGAATGGCTACAACTGACCAAAACAAAAACAAAAAACAAACAAAAAAAACCCAGGGGTCTTAGTGGGCCAGTGTGATGCCCTCCCACAGCCTGGGGCACACCCTGAGGGGCTCTTCCAGGTAGCTTTGCCCCAGCCGCCCTTCCCCTAGTCAGCCCTCACCAAGCCCCATCTTGCAGGTGTAGGAGAGGTGGTAGTTGCAGGGGACGTCACTCCACTGTCCCTGGTCATGCCACACCATGACCACGCAGTTCTCCCCAGACAGGAAGTAGCTGTCAGGCTGCCCAGGGTTCCAGTTTTCATAGAGCTGGGAAGGGGGGCGGGTGGAGGAGGTGGTGAGGAGCTTAAGCCCCAAAGGGGGGAGGAAGACCCTCAGGGTGCTGGAGGGAGGACTCAGGGAGCTGGAGGGAGGATCCGGGGTGCTGGAGGGAGGACTCAGGGAGCTGGAGGGAGGATCCGGGGAGCTGGAGGGAGGACTCGGGGAGCTGGAGGGAGGACCCAGGGAGCTGGAGGGAGGACTCGGGGAGCTGGAGGGAGGACTCGGGGAGCTGGAGGGAGGATCCGGGGTGCTGGAGGGAGGACTCAGGGTGCTGGAGGGAGGACCCGGGGAGCTGGAGGGAGGACTCGGGGAGCTGGAGGGAGGATCCGGGGTGCTGGAGGGAGGACTCAGGGTGCTGGAGGGAGGACCCGGGGAGCTGGAGGGAGGACTCAGGGAGCTGGAGGGAGGATCCGGGGTGCTGGAGGGAGGACTCAGGGAGCTGGAGGGAGGACTCGGGGAGCTGGAGGGAGGACTCGGGGAGCTGGAGGGAGGACTCAGGGAGCTGGAGGGAGGACTCGGGGAGCTGGAGGGAGGACCCGGGGAGCTGGAGGGAGGACCCAGGGTGCTGGAGGGAGGACTCAGGGAGCTGGAGGGAGGACTCAGGGAGCTGGAGGGAGGACCCGGGGTGCTGGAGGGAGGACTCAGGGAGCTGGAGGGAGGACCCAGGGAGCTGGAGGGAGGACTCAGGGAGCTGGAGGGAGGACCCAGGGAGCTGGAGGGAGGACTCAGGGAGCTGGAGGGAGGATCCGGGGTGCTGGAGGGAGGACCCAGGGAGCTGGAGGGAGGACTCAGGGAGCTGGAGGGAGGACTCAGGGAGCTGGAGGGAGGACCCAGGGTGCTGGAGGGAGGACTCAGGGAGCTGGAGGGAGGACCCAGGGTGCTGGAGGGAGGACTCAGGGAGCTGGAGGGAGGACTCAGGGAGCTGGAGGGAGGACCCAGGGAGCTGGAGGGAGGACTCAGGGAGCTGGAGGGAGGACTCAGGGAGCTGGAGGGAGGACTCGGGGAGCTGGAGGGAGGACTCGGGGAGCTGGAGGGAGGACTCGGGGAGCTGGAGGGAGGACTCAGGGAGCTGGAGGGAGGACTCAGGGTGCTGGAGGGAGGACTCAGGGTGCCCCAGGATAGGGAAGGGCAGGGGTCTGGTTCCTGGGACAGGGGTTTTGCAGGAAAGAGACAAGAGCTTGAGGGGACAGGGACAAGGAAAGAAGGGGTCCAGGGGAAAGATGGGAACAGAGGGGCCAGGAAGGGAGGAAGAGAAGATGGCAGTTTCTGAGGGCAGGAAGGCACTCAGGAAGTGAGACTACAGGCGGTGGGAGTCCTCACCAGAGGGGCACCGTCTGACCACAAGAAGTCACCCTCAATGGTCCTGTCGTTGAGCCCGATCCACTGGTACTCCCGGTAGCGATCTGGGGGAGAAAAACCAAAGGTGCAGTGAGCATTAAGCTCCGTGTTCCCGGGCCAGTGATTGACCTTTTGGGACCATCCAAAAGCCTGTTCCCTATGTCTTGCTGGCCTGTGGCTGCTGGCTCAGGAACAGGCTCCTCTACCAGGAGGGCAGTGCCACTGTCTCCATCCCTCTCCTCCTCTTCCCCCAGGTAAGACAACTATATGTAATGCCATAGAGACTTTTCTTTCGAAAGTTTTAAATTTTTTATTTTATGTGATTGACGTGTACCATTACATCCGTGTACCACTTGCGAACAGTGTCCTCGGAGGCCAGAGGGCTTCCGATTCTAAGGGACTGGAGTTAGAGATGGTTGTGAGCTATCATGTGGAGGCTGGGAATCTAACTCGGGATCCTTCGGGAAAGCAGCCAGAGCTCTTAACCGATGAGCTATCTCTCTAGCCTGTCTCCCTACTTTCTTACGTGACCTCCACACCCCACGGATGCCAGGGCATGCAGATGGAGAATAGCAGGTGGTGAGGGAAAGAGGAAGCGCAAACCTTGTTACCACAGAGTTAGGGAAGTAGACGCACGTGGGAAAACAGGGAGCCCCGCAGTGTAGGCAGCCCTGCAAATGTAGGACATGGAGCCCAATCACCCCACAGCAGGTCTTCTAGTGAGTGACAGGCAGGAGTGAGGGAAGGGGAAAGGGAGTGAGTGAAAGGGGAGTGAGTGAGAGAGACGGGAGGGAGGAGCGAGTGGGAAGAAGGGAGGGGGGAGTGGGGGGAGGAAGGAGTGAGGAGTGGGCTTGGTGCAGAGCATGCGCAGGAAGCCAGGCTCCACCCACCGTTGACGAAGTCCTGCTCCTCTGGGGTACAGATACTGGTCAGATGCGCACCTAGCGCTCGGCACTGGCTTTCCGCCTCCTCCCAGCTCCTCCGTGTGGAAAAATGCTTGTAGCAGGCGCCCTGGAAGGCTTCCCAGCCAGGGCTGCAGAAGTGGAGGCCTGGAGCACAGGGGAGGGAGCGTCTTAGGCTGCCAGGTCTCAGATTGGCTTCTTCAGCTAGCTGGCTAGTAGCAGGAGGGGAGGGCTCAGAGCCTTTCCAGCGCAGCCAGGGGCCTTCAGCTCTTGGGCAGTGGCTAAGTCGGCTGGTTCTCCAGCCCTGGCCTGTGCAGCCCTCCATGCTGGAGAAGCGTCTAGCCTCCCCGCTGCTCCAGGGACAGGACAGCGAGAGTTAAGATTCAGACCAGCTATGTATCCTGCCTGAAGGGGCAATTCATTCACGGCAAAGCCCAAACCAGTGACCTCCCGCTGCCTTGGGAACTAGTACATTGGCATACGGTCCAGTCTTTCGACCTGCCTCCATACCCCCTCAATACACTCACCAACATCGCACAGGTCCCCCCCATAGCCTGGCAAACATAGGCAGCGGAAACCCTCCTTCTCCTCCAAGCAAGTCCCACCATTGTGGCAGGGGCTGGGGATACAGTCACCTGATGGGGGAGAGAAGGGAGGTGGAGAAGCATGAGGGTAAGCTGTGCAGACTGAGCTCTGGGGGGGGGTTCTGGGTCCCCCAGCCCAGACACCTTCCAGACCAGTGACAGTTCTGCCAAGAGCTGGCCCTTGCTACAGCCATCCCTCAGTTCTGGGCTTCTCTCCTCACTGTGAACTCTCAGTTCTTCACAGGCTCATCCTTGTACAAGCCCACCACGCCCTGGTCAGCTGATGGGAAGAGGCCAAGAAAGGCAAGACATTCTGGGCATCAGTAATGAGACCTGGATTCCTGCCTTCTCCAGCCTTCCCTCTGGACCCTGCCTAGGTGTTAGAGGAGCTGTCAGCTTCTACTGCATTCTGGTCAAGATGACCCTAGAGAGTGGCTTCTTTAACTAGCAGCGCAGACCAGGTCCCTCAGAGCTGCCTGCCAGCAGCCCACAAGGCCCACAATGCTTCATGCTGGCTTCAGCAAGGCAGGCGGACGGAGAAGCTGGGCTAATTTGCTGAGGGACCTAGCTATAGTAGGTGGAATGGACCAGCCAGCCTTTTGAGCATCCCTCCAACAGTCTCCCCAGGAAGGTGAAGCCTGGTCTCAGGAGATGAAGGTGAGCTCCTCGAAGACCTCATTGTCTCCAGTCTCCTCTTTCCTGGGCAGTCCTCTAACCTTGGGAGGCAGCTCAGTCCCTGGTGCTCCTGCTCTCTAAGCCATAAGACCCCCCCTGGCTGTGGCTACCGGGCCTGGACCTTGGCTGGGCAGTGTGTGGTGAAGGGACTCTTTTGGGTTTTCCTTTCGGGCAAGCATTTCTTTCCCACCTCCTGACATACAGTCCAGGGGTCCTCTGGCTCCCTCTACAGGCGAGCTGACACTGCAGCAGCCCTCTTTTCCCGTTACACCCACTCCAAGGCCAGAGGGCAGAAAGGCAGCAGCTGAACTGGGTGAGCTGATGATGACACTTGGGCCGTGGAGGGGAGGCGAGAGCTTGGGAGGCCCTCAGCCTTTCCTTCTGATGGGAGCCGTAGGCTTCTGGGACAGAAGGCTCCTCTCAGATGGTGGAAACCAGTTCCTTTCCTCCCCCCCCCCCCCGTCCCGCCTCACCCTGCTCTGCGTGGTCCTTGGCGCTGAAGACCATAAACCCACTTCTCGGGGGCTGGAGTGGTCATTAGTGCAGGGTTAGTGCAGGAGGGGACACTGGGCACAAGGAGTAGTGGTGATGTCTCTCAGTGGGTGCATGGAGGGAGATGGTGTAGGTAAACCCTGGGAAGCCAGAGAACTGACCCCATACAGGAACTACCTAGGTGGGGCACACACCACAGCCTGGATGGGGGTTTTTGTTCTGTAGGTGGCACAGGGCTCCCTTGGGTGATATGTACAGTCAGTCTGGGGTCTCAGTAGTATGGGGGACGTGTCGATGGCCCAAGGAGAGACAGAAGGGACAGCGAGGGGCCGCTGCCCTTTGGAGCAGCAAGGATGCTGACTGAAGAAGAGTGGCAGAGATACATGGAGAGACACGGGGGGGGGGGGGGAGGGCACACAGAACCAGACACTCCTGACTCAGACTCAGTCATGAGCAGAGAAGACAGCTGGAGATGGATGGACAGGGTATCAACTGCTGGGTACAAAGCACTTTAATACAGATTTATTTCCAAGGCTTGTTTTCCACGAAACAGTCAAAAATACTTCACAGAAGTAGTGGCTTAAGGCTCTTTGGGGTGAATATTCTGGTCCCCAGAAGTGAGGGGCAGGTATGGTCTCTCAGGCTTCCCTGGGATCAGCCTGGAGGCGATTAAAGGGAGGAGGCAAAGAGCTCGGGGAGGGGCAGACGAGATGATGGGCCTGGCTTCCAAGGGTGTGGTGAGTGGGAAGAGGCATGAGGACATTCCGTGTGGCCGGTGAGTGTGAGCTACAGCAGAGGGCCAAGGGCCAGCCGGGGGGCTTGGGGCGGGAGTGACAAGGCTGGACGTCCAAGATTGGAGAGCCACAGGGAAAGACAGGGAAGGTTGTGAGGGTCTGGGGAGAAGGCAGACTAATGGCCTACAGCCCAGAGCTGGAGAAGCAGAAAGAGGGAGAATGGGGGCACTGAGTTTTCAGCAGAGTTACCTGATGAGGGGGCCACAGCCACTCCGCCGCCTCGGCTGGCACTGTCGGTGGGCAGTACTGGCGGGGCATGCACTGAGGTCCCTGCCAGAACAGTTCTTCCAGACTTCTCTCCTGAGGGGCTCTCCAGCTCCCTGGTCCCCTCAGGGGCCCATGTGGCTGGCAGCAGGGAAGGGCCATCCTCCAGGCTGGAGCTCCCTGCCTCCTCACTCTCTCGAGGGATCCCAGAGAGCTCGGGGCTTCCAGTTTCTCTTGCTCCATCTGGGGTGGATGTGAGACTTCCCTCCCCTGGGGGGAGCAAAGTCTCTGCAGGTGGTCCATGGACCCTTGGAGGCCTGGGAGAAGGTGATGCACCCAGTTGCAGAACTGCCCCGGCGGGGGGGGACACCTGGGAGAGTGACTGCTCTGTTTCTGAGCCAGTGGGGAGAGGGCTGCTGAGCTCCCTGGGCCACACCCGCAGGTCCTCCTGCTCCTTCTCTTCCTCCAGAACCTCTGTGCCTTTGTATCTTTCTTCTTCCTCCAGGACTCTGTCTTCCTCTTCTGAGGTCCCAGGAGGTGGTGGTGCAATGGACTGGGTTTCCGATTCTGACCACAGCAAAACAGTTCAGCACCAGGGACAGCACCCCCAGCGCAAGCTGGGGAGGGCAGGGGAAGGGCGGGGCCTGGGGGAGGGCACCGGGGAAACCTGGGAGAGAGGTGTCCTTGGAGCACTGCCTGTCTGGAAGAACTCTGACCCTGCAACACTCTGGAGGGTTCTGCAAGCTGCCTCTAGCTGTTACATCTCCCTCTCCCAGCCTGCCAACATTTTCTTCTCTGTCTGGGAGGTAGGTTAGGATTATATTCCTTCCCAGAGAGCACCCTCTAAACACATGCTTCTCTAGCTGCACAGAATTGGAGGTGGAAGTTACTTGAATACCAAGTTTGGGAGAGGGATAGGACACATGCCTTGTACGATGGAGCTGCCGAGAAAGGCCAGGCCAGAATTATGCCAGCCATGACTCCAGCATCCACCTGGGCTTGCCCTCCTGCCCCCAACTTCTCTCAGGTGGTGAGAATCCAAGGTATGGGCTTAAAGTTACCTAGAAGAATCCCAGGGGCCTCTGCTGGGTCTTCTGGGGAGGAACTTCCTCCTCCCCCGTCCTCCATGATGGGAATGGAGTAGATGGCCCCACGAGACTCGCTCTCCATAGCTTCCTGAGGCAACTGAAGTTCCTCCAGCTTCTCTGTCACTGTGACAATGGCCTCTAGTCCATCAGAGGCCGGGCTGGAGGTCTCGGAGAAGGCAGAGGGGTGGGCAGAGTCTGTAGCAAGAGGAAAAGCACAATGGGAAGCTAAGTAGGGAGTTGAGTCCTTCTAGGGAAGGGCCTGCATTTGAGGCTCTAGGACCCTGCAACGTGCTTCAGTCTTCCACAGCTTCTCACAGGGAGCTCAAGGGCACTCATCCCTGAGCACTAATGGAGTGCCTGTTAGTTTTTAGGCTAAGCATTCTCTGGGTGTGGTATAGAGAATGCCAGGGAAACCCCATCCTGAGAAAACAGACACAGACAAGCACACGTGAGAAGTCATAAGATGAAGCCAGCCGGGGCTTGTTTCCTTCAGAGGGGTCTGAGGCGTCTGAGAGAGCTGCTTCCTGAACTGAGGGAACACGGAGTGGGTGGATCGGTGGATCGAGCAGTCTGTACTTTGTAGGCTGAGTTTGGGTTGAGAAGGGTACAGACTCCATCCCCCAGGCACAACAATCAATTGTCACTGTCTGAGGAGCTCGGAACTCAACTAAGGGAACAGGAACAGCCCTGCCTTCTGTGTGTTCTGCTCAGTGTTGACCTCGTCATCTGGAGAGGGAACACGGATCAATGACTCCAAAGTAGAACTGAACTAAGAGGAGCCCAGAGGACTGTCCCCAGCAAGAACAGGCAGGACTGTATGTCCCTGGCCCTCTGACCTGTCCCAGCAAGCCTTGCTCCATCCCACTCCAAAGCAGCAAACCTGCCTCTGTCCTCCATCTCCCCTCCTGCCCCTCCACACTGATGCCTCTGCCTGTCCTTTTTAGAATCTGCACCCAGCTGACTTCCAGGTGCCACCCTCTGTGCACTCATCAGCATTCGGTGTGGACACCGGTAAACTGCAGGATCTGGGCATACAGGGAGCTCACTGAAGAACTGGTTCAGCCACCTGTGCTGACCAAGGTGCTGACAGATGTGGGTGCTAGGCAACGTTGGAACTGGCAGAAACTGGCACAGACCACTGAGGAGGAGGCAGGTGAACTGATTCAGAGGCTACAGGGACGATGCCAAGACCCTAGAGGACAAGCTGGGCACCATGAAGACCCCTGTGGGCAAATGACCAGGAAGGTGGCGAAGGCAAGGCTAGACCTCCAGGCCTGGCACGGCTTCTGCGGCCACTCACCTCGGAAGCAGTAGACATTGAAGCGGTTCTGCTTGTTGGGGAAGCCGGTCTGGTTGGGGAAGAGGAAGAGGGTCTTGACCCCCGGCAGCCCCCCACCACAGCGTTGGCTAGGAGTGATGATGGGATAACGGACACTGCCATCGGCCAGCCAGCCGGGGCTGCATCGGTCCAGGCCCCCGTTCCAGGCTGCATACAGCTGGCCCGTACTGGCAATCTGTGCACCCCGTTCCAGACAGTAGTCCCGAGCCTCCTCCCACGTCAGCTTGCCAGGAGGGGCGCCTAGAAACAGTTCTCCTGAGTGAGAAGAGGAGCTGGGTCAGCAGGCAGTTGGCAGGTCCCTCCACCCTAAACTCTTACAGGCAAGCCCATTCCTGACATGCGGCCACCTTACCCACCTGATAGCACGTATCAAGGTCTGCATGAAACCCAATATGAGTGCATAGAGGAGCCTGGCCCCAATTCCTCACTCTATAGGGCTCGGGAGGCAGCGTGCAACTCACCCCCAGTTGGTGACTACCCGTCAGGTTTACTCATGGAGTGACTTCTGGGATAGTGTTTGGAGAAGTACACCAACTGCCTGCCTATCCTGTCCTAGACACATGAGGTCTACTGGAGGCCCCAGAAGAAACCAAGGGCCTTGTTGCAGAAGGGCCTGTCACTCCCAATCACCATTTAGGTCTTCGGCATAACAGTAGACATCGTAGAGGTCCTCGGGACCCACCACTCCGTAGTTCCGGACTCCAGGGTAGCCATCCATGTCTCCGTAGCAGGCCTCTCGTGGATTCTGGATGGGGTACCTAAGAGAGAGGAAGAGGCTAGGGACTGCTGTCTTCCCTCAGGAGGCTGTCCCATATTAGCCCCACCGCTGTGTGGCAAGTGGGGATGTCAGGATACAGGAAAGTATGCCCCAGGCAGGGCCTCGGCCATTTTCCTCAGGCCAGTTTTCTTCGCAGAGGCAGGGAGCCCTGGGAAACCTCGGGGAAGGGTGGAAGCAGCAAGCACCCTGACATGACCAAGAACCGCTGGTCCACACTGTCTGCCCACCTCACAGTCTGGTCGGACAGCCAGCCGGCATCACACTGCTCATAGCCGCCGAGGTAGGCAGCATAGAGCTGCTCAGGGGTGGCGATTCGGGCACCTATGCGAGTACAGGCTTCCTGGGCTCCAGCAAAGGAGAAAGCGTAGCGGGCAGAGCCCTCTCGGTAGAGGAAGACGACCCCTGAGGAGCAGAAAGGACTCCTGAACCTGACAATCACCAGCAAACTGACCTACCCTCCGCGTCACTCCCAATCCACAAAAGGCTCACTCTCTGGCTGGCGGACTGTTTGCTGCCCTCCTTTTCCAGTTCAGCTTGTGCCTTTCCGAGGGCAAGGTTTGCCCTAAGCCTCCACACACTCAGCTCCTCAGCTCCCTGCGGGGCCAGAGTCCTCTCCTCCCTCTCTTTGGGGACCTCATTCTACTTGTCTTCTCACCTTTGACCTTGACCTCCACAGCATCACTGCTGTCGTCGATGCCATGCTGGACTTCGCAGCGATAGACCCCGGAATCATTGGGCCGCAGCTCGCTCAACATCAGAGACACATCGGTGAGCGATGCAGGGTAGGCGAGCAGCGCCACGCGGAACCGGTAGGCTTCGTTTACCTTGACCCGCAGCCCGCGCGCCACCAGCACCTCCGCCTCCCGGTCTCCGGACAGAAAGGTCCACTTGACCCGGGGAAAGCCCGGCGCGGCCCGGCGGCTGGTCAGCGGCCGCAGGTGGTGGACATGACATGGGATGGTCAGGGCGCCGCCCAGCACGCCCCGCAGCTGCGCGGTGCCAATGCGCACGAGGAAGGCTCGGTCCTCTGTGGACAGGGGTCAAAGCCCGCTGCAGCCAGACGCAGGACGCAGTGCGCCTGTGCGCGTGGCTCCAAGCCCCGCCCCCAAGACCAGCCCGCCTAGGGTGCGTGCGCTCCGCTCAGGGTGCTGAGCCCTGCCCAGGGTCCTGAATCTGATCCTCCACCCTTAGCCTCCTGTCTTCTGCCCCTTTGCAGCCCCCCACCTTCCACGCTCCCCAACTCATCCCTGTTCTGCAGTTGGCCCAAGCCCTTGCCCACAGAGCTTCCACGTCTTTCTCCTTCCCGGTACCCGGGCTGGGGTTGAACTGAGACAGCTTTCTGCCCTAGGGCAGATGCAACAGAGACAATGGTCCTCGGGAGGGTTGCTCACCTGAGCTGTCCTCTTTCAGATCCTCAGCTAGGGCTGCAGGAGCCTGCGTCAGTACCAGGGCTGCCAGCAGCGACAGAAACAGTGGGATCATGCTGCAAACTGACGGGAGCACTTGAGGAGGAAACATGAAAGGGGTGGTTAGACTCTGGGATGGAATTCCTCTGGTTCTCTGAAACCGCACATGGACAGCACATACCAGAATCACCACTAACTCTGTATCTGATCCCAACTCCTCAGCACCAAGATGTGTCCCCACTCAACTCATCGAGTGGCCTAAGCCAAGGTCCTTACCTTTGCTGAATCTCTTTTTTCTTCATTGCGGAGAAAGAAAGAAAGAAAGAAAGCACCATCATTACTTTACTGCCTGATGCTTTTTGATGGGGCCATGTGCTTTGAGTAATCTGTCTGTCTGCCTCTGTAGCTGACAGCTACATATAGTTGTCTATTGTCTACCCACCTGACTATGATCTACGGCAGAAAGCACCCCGTGCCTATGCCAGCACCAGACACGGAGTCAGTGACCGCTTATAATACAACGAGGAGCCGCACTGTGCAATTAGCTTTCCCTGCTCTTGCGTTCCACATCTGTGTGTCCAACCAGGCACCCGCCAAACATTCAGAAAATAGGAGTCTGTACTGAACACATACAGATTTTTTGTCACTGCTCCATAAACAGCACGTATCCACTTAGAAACTGTAAGTCACCTAGAGACGGGTTCCTGTGTATGAAAGACATGCGTAGGCGGGGTTTCGAGCACAGCAGCAGTCCCATTTTCCCCTGCCCTCGGGTGCCCACCCTGAGCCTCCTCTGCCGATGGTGAACCCCAGTCTTCCCTGCCTAGCCACTCCTCTTCCAGGAAGGCCTCCTAGACTGAACCCAGGCTCTGCAGCCTCTCCTGCTTCCTCCCCACAAGGACTTGTAAGGAAGCTTCCCTTGGTGCCCAACATCCTCTGCCCCCTCCATTCCTCCAACTTTGCTCCCAGTCATTCTCCTCTGCCTGGCACGGGCTTTCCCACCGGATCTCCTGGCTCAGAAGCCAGCTGGGACAAAGACCCTGTCCCTGCCAGTCTGGCCTCCATCCAGTTGCTCCTTCCCCCACCCATCTTTTGTGAAAGCCTAGGACTTGGAGCGTCCTGGAGAGGAGTACAGGGAGAGGCCATCCGCCTGCCCCGGCCATCGGCTCTGGAAACAGTTTCCCTTTCTGAGGATCTCAGTGCACTTACACTCTCAGGGAAAATGGAGGTGGGCGCCCAGGGAGGGCTAGGGCTACCTCTGGGCCACCAGCAGAGCCAAATCAGGAGGCAGGGCACTTGCCTTCAGGAAGGAAAGCCGCAGAGCTAATGAACACGGTCTTTAAGAGCCAGGCCAGAGCTGGAAGACTCTGAGGATCCAGTCCACACGGCTGGCGATGCGCAGGGGATCAAAGTTAGGACGTCAGGCAAGATTTCCTACCGATTATGCTCATTGGATCCTTCTCTCACTCCTAGCCCTCACTTGCTCTGCCTACGATGGGAAATTTCCTCCTCTCAAGCGCTCCCAGGTCAGACTCCCCTGCTATCCGCCGCTGTGGCCTTCACTCTTGGTTGGGCCGTGCGATCTAGGGTTATCCCTGGGAAGCAAGAAGGTGCCAGGTATTCTGGGGGCGGGGGGTTGCTGGAGAAGCCGGCCCGGCTATTGTCCGGTGAGAGCAGGAGCTACTCACACGCCCCGACACCATTATCACCTCTTTCACCTGTGGTGGGACAGCAGAGGAGGAGGGAGGGAGCCCGAGGTCAGAGGATCTGACTGCCCTGGGACAGGAGTTTTCGACCCGAATGGCCAGGAGTGGCTCCTGTTCTGAGTTCGGGCGCTCTGACCTTTCCCGGAGGAAAGCCACTACAGAGCCACGAGCTCAGCAGCCCCCTGCCTCCGGCTGGGCATCCTCGGCTGCTGCGCAGCTCTCTCGCTCAATCGCCCACTGGCTCTGGCAGGCTGCGCGGAGGAGGCAGGGAGCGAGCGTCTGCGTGGCTCGGGGCGCGGAGATCCGTACAGTGCACTGTGCGCCTGCCCTAGGAGAGGCACCGCCGACCGCGCCCTCGGGTGCGCGGGGACCCCAGGAAGCTGCGGCGGGCGACCGTCCCCGTCGCCCACAGCAGTCAGGCCCGCGACCCGCCCTCGCCCAAGCTCAGAGAGGTCAAGAAACTTGCCCAAGGTCACACAGCAAGTAATCGGCTGGCAGGACCAGGCCTCCGCACTCACCTTGCGAGGTCCCCTCCGCACACGCACACAGCGCGTCCCGCAGCCGCGGCCGAGACTGCGGCGCAATGCGCGGGCGCGAGCAAGGCCGGGCGCGCGGGACGCAGACGGGGGCGCCAGGCCGCCGGGCGCCGCACAAAACCCCCTTTCTTCCCACGCGCCCCGCCTTCTGAGCCGTCCCCGACTCTAGCCGCCCCCGCGGGGGGCTCTGCGCGGTCACGGGACCCGCTGCCTTCTCTCCGAGGGTTCCGGGCGACAGTCGCCAGAGCGAGGACAAGCGAAGTAGGACAAGGTTCCGCGGACGAGAGCCCAGGACTTGCCGCGGGGAGGGCAGAAGGGGCGGGGAGGGCAGAAGGGGCGGGGAGGGAGCGGTGGAGGGCGCTGTGCCGACGCAAGAAGACGAGTTAGAACGCGGGAGGGACTTCTCGTTGGGTAAAGGGAGAAGGACCGACTCAAACTTCGTAGCTCAGAGGCTGGAGGGATGATGGGAGCTTTGCCCCGGCAAAGAGGGCACTGCCGGGTGAACATTTTCTGAGGCCAGAGAAGGTGCAGAGACCACAGCTTCCCGGCTAGAGGAGGCTTTGATTGGGCTGTGTTCCTGATGTTCCTTCTCCCTCCACAGAGGAGGGGCTGGCTTTGCAGTCGTTGGCTAGGCGGAGGTGGCACACGGGTTAGCCAACGCAAGCCGGGCATCAGTGGCACAGTGACTGGACGGTACTGATGGAGCAGACATCACAGGTTGCAAAATCCCACGTGCAGAGCGAGAGCCTGTCAGCCCCTGTTGGGCTGCCCTGTGTGTAGCCTGGAGCCCGGGGGTGGGCCTTGAGGTGAGCCCAAAGTGCCCGCCCCCCACTTCTCGCTTCTCCCTGCTTTCCCAGGCTCTCCACTTTCCCCCTCTCCCGCCTAGGACTCTAGGCAAAGCCTTGGCACCAGCTAGAGGCGACTCGGCCAGATCCCTGGCCCTCAGTCCTCAGGACGCCAGCAACGCCAGTGTGGGGGCCGTGGCCTCATCATTTCCAGATCCCCAAATGCACCCTGCTCACCTACAGCACCTTAACCCCCAACCCAGCCAACTTCGGGAGTTTCCTAGCCGTGCCCTACCCCCATGCTGTGGACTTAGTTCCAACCCGCCTTCAGACTCTGAAAAAACAAAGTCCTCTCTAAACCCTTAAGAGTTTAAAGAGAGGATTCCAGCTCATGCCGCCCACTCTAGGGACAGGATGGAAGGACCTTGGAACCGAACCGGAGCAGAGTCACGCAGAAGGAAGGGGACCGAGTGGAGCCCCTGAAGAAGCTGGGCAGGAGGCCTCTGTTTACTCATTCCAAAATCAGCTATGTTTGGGGTCCTAAGCCTGGTGGAGTCATCAGCCCGGAAGGACCCCGAGGCTTTGGGAGCCAGGTCTGGAGGACATCTGTGTGGCTCACCAACACGTGGACTCCAGAGGGGTTGCGGGTCCATCAGGCGGGGCTAGGAAACCAAGGGTCTGCAATTCAGTCCAGTTGGTGTCTCAGATGTAGCACCATCTTTCTGGGAAACCCTGACTGTGGCCAGGGAAGACAGAGGCACCCCCAATATCCGCACATCCCCACCCCTGCGCTCAGAGTCACCAGTGCACACATTCTGGTACCCGGGGAGAGCAGGGCAGGCTGGAGACTACTGTAGGCAGATTGCTGGGGCCAGGGGAAACCAGGAGAGCAGAGAGCCAACAGTTAGGGGCACCCTGGCCTCTGAATGCCCCTGTAAACCCACCCACAACCAGCAGGGTCCCCAGCACACATGTGGAATCTTTCCACATCATCCACACCCTTATGAAGGTCTGACTAGGGGCTCGACAGCCCACTGCAGGCTAGGCCTTGGTGAGGGAACCCTTTCCGGAAAGTGGGCATTATGAAGGCCTCCTTTGTTGCCAGCTGGGAACATTTACACTGAAGTCCATCCAGACTCAACTCTAACCACTGCCGGTAAGTACCTTCCCTCCAGTTTTGGAGTCTGGCATTTTGACTCATAGCCAAAGGAGGCTGTTCATTTCTGTCCTCCATCTGAGGGGCAACTGGACACACGCCTGCTCCGTGCAGCCCCCTTAGATCTTAGACATGGATCCTGGCACTGGCTGCCAACAGAGGCAGCGTTTCTTCACAAACCTGTGTCCTAGCAACAGGGTACGGTGACTCACATAGCCTCGGGGTCTTCTGGATGAGAGAAGGGCAGCATCACAGGGGTTGGCTGGTTGAACCAGAAGCTGCCAGCCCTGGACTACTGCACCAAGGGCTCAGCCAAAGAGGGAGAAGAGGGGAACAGGAGGCCAGGCCTCCCTTGCCCCCACATGGTGCAGCTGGCTGTCTCCCAGCCTGCCCCAGAGACTTTTCCAGGCTTTCTTGAAGAACCTGTGATCTCCTGCTAGTTTCACACTCCAATAGCTCCCATACCGGCCAAAGCTGTGGCCTGAGGTGCGAACCCAAGCTGTGCCCAGAGCTCCTGCCTTCCAAGCACCCCTCTTCAGTGCTGGCTTTTACTGGGTGCCCATCTGAAGTGGCCGCTGCATCCTCTCCCATTTTCAGGCAGCCCCCTCAGGGCCCAGGCACCTGGCTTCTCCACTGGGAGGGGCTGAGTGCTGGCACAGCTGTGCTCAGATAATGGGGGCTTTGATAGCCCCAGAAGGGGGCCAGGAAGTACAGGACCAGCTTAGAAATGCCAGGGGATGGCTCTCAGACATGCTGCAGTTGTGGGGGAGCTGGAGTCTAGGGCTGGATCTGCAACCTAGCTTCAGCCACCAGGGGCACCTTCCCTACATTTTCACTCCTCTGTGATGCTGGGCCATGCACTTTCTCCCCAGCCTTGGTTTCTCCGTGTAAGATGATGCCAACACCTTGTTGAGTGGTCCTGAAGTTGGAGTGTAGCAGGCTTTCTTGGACTGCCAGCCCCCAATTAATGACACAGAGACTTATTAGTTATGAAAACTTAGTTTATGCTTCTCCCACTAGCTCTTATAACTTATGTTAACCTGTTTCTCTTCATCAGTGTCTTTTTTTCTTTTTTTTTTCTTTTTTTTCTTTTTTTTTGGTTTTTCGAGACAGGGTTTCTCTGTGGTTTTGGAGGCTGTCCTGGAACTACCTCTTGTAGACCAGGCTGGCCTCGAACTCACAGAGATCCGCCTGCCTCTGCCTCCCGAGAGCTGGGATTAAAGGCGTGCGCCACCAACACCGGCCCTTCATCAGTGTCTTGCTTCGGGGATTTTTACCTTTCTTTCATTCTGTATGTCCTGCTTTCCTGCTTCCTCTGTGTCTGGTTGCTTGGCTGGCTGGCTGGCCCTGGGCATCCCCTTTTCTTTCTCCCTTGATCTTAAGTCTGGATTCCTCCTCCCATTGATTCTCTTTGCCCACCAGCCCTACCTATCCCTCTACTGACTAGCTATTGGCCATTCAGCTTTTATTAGACTAATCAGGTGCCTTAGGCAGACAAGGTAAAGCAAATGTAAGACATCTTTACATAGTTAAACAACTGCAGCATAAACAAATATAACACAACTTTACATAGTTAAACAAATATCTATTCCACAACATTGGAGAATGTACGTGTTTTTTCTTTGAGACAGGGTTTCTCTGTATTGTTTTGGAGTCTGTCCTGGAACTAGCTCTTAACCAGCCCGGTCTCAAACTCACAGAGATCCAACCTGCCTCTGCCTCCCGAGTGCTGGGATTAAAGGTGTGCGCCACCAACCTGGCTGCATGTACGTGTTTTTAATTTTAATTTTATCTCTGTGTGTTCACGCTTCTGTGTAGCCCAGAAAATGGTACTGGATCCCCTGAAGCTGGAGTTACAGGTGTTTGTGACCCACCTGATGGGGTACTAGGAACTGAACTCAGGTCCCATGGAAGAGCAGCCAGTGCTTTTGATTTTCTAACTTGGGCTTTTTTTTTTTTTTTGAGACAAGTTCTCTCTATGTATGCCTGTCCT